TTCCTTTCAGTTCCGTTCAGTTCCTTTCAGTTGCTCAAAGTCGACATGAGTTCAGTTCCTTTCAGTTGCGTTCAGTTCCTTTCAGTTGCGCGGAGCGCTCATGTCGACGAGTTGAGTTGAGTTGAGTTCCTTTCAGTTCCGTGTCGACCTGAGCCTGCCTTAAAGTACATTATAATTCAATTTTTTCATGTGTTGTGGTGGCTGAGGGGGTTAGGCACTTGTTCGTGCCAATTTATCAGTTTAATTCCTGGTGATGGAGGCTCTCAGATCACTCAGCTGTAATGAGTACCTAGTTAAAACATTTTGGGGAGGTTAAAAGGTGGCATGGAAAGGAACTCTCCACCGACCACAAAATGCTTAGTACAATAACTTCTAAGAGCTTACTCCCCTATATTTAGCAATGAATTCAAGATTACTTTTACACTTACCTTACCCTTTTTGTATTTTTAAATAGGAGTCGAATGGGACGTACAATCTTAAGCCAGCCAGCCTGTGTTTCAAAGCTTCTGTCCTTACTGCTAGACCAGCGTCCCTCCCCTAAACTTGTGCTCATCATCCTTCAGCTGTGCAGGGTAGCCTTACCGCTGATGAATGCAGAGGATTGTGAAAAAGTAGAGTTGCCACCGTGGGGACAAGATGTTCCCTCCTTCGGTAGTCAAGAAGATGCCCTCGCAGACCCACCTGCTAAAATTGCAAGCTTGCTCCTTGCTAAACTAGGTGACTATATTGTGCCAGGTAAGTTTGATGCCTGTTTTTAAAGCTGGCATTGCTTATGCTCTATCAGTGGCATAACTAGGGGCTGCACAGGGAGTATGCCCCCAGTCTCCCCAAATCATGCTCAAGTAGTTAAAAATCACCTCAAATCATCTTATTTTGTGAGCAAGCACCCCTCACCTAATCATCGAGGCCCCCACTTCACCTTTGTTCCCACCCCCATCAGGACCCCCACATTTCAAGACTCTTAGATACACCACTGTGCTATATCAACACTATCAAGTTTTATGTGATAAATATGTATGATTTGCCCATCTTTGAACTTTGAACTGTGTTATTGTACCGGATACTCAGTACGTCCCCAAATGCTAGCGAAAAAGTTCCGCAAGTGATTCGGTTGGGAATCGAACCCATGACCTCCATGTATCTAGCCTGATGTCTTAACCACTAGAGCACTGAGCTTGCGTTTGGTGACTAGTGATGAATCGATCCCCTAGTAGCAACGGGTACTGCAAGTGGTATAATGATATGTCATACAGTTCGGTGGTCTAGTGGTTAAGACATCAGGCTAGATACCTGGAGGTTGTGAGTTCGATTCCCACCCGAATCACTTGCAAATTTTTTTCGCTAGTATTTGGGGACGTATTGAGTGTTCGGTACGATAACACGTCAGGTAGGGCAAAACATCACTCCTATGATATTTCCTGATGCATATTCATATCTTTAAATATGATGATGTCATACATACCCATATATGGCCAAATCAAATGTATTTAATATATAAAGCATAATAGTTCATAATATGATAGCACTCTTCCACTGCAATAATAAATAGCCTTTGCGTTATATGCCCCTGTTTCATATAAACTACTTGGACATTAAAATATCTTGATCTCTACTTTTGATTATGACTATTTATATATTCAAATAAAAATATGAATTTTGATTTGATAGGCTGTCAAACCACTGCTATTGTTGAACCCAATGGCTCTAAATCCGGTTCTGCCACAAGCAGCTCAAAGGTGATGATGCAAGACCAGGATGTAGGTGATGAGACTGATGTGCAAGACAGACAGCTGTCAATCTTTGTCCACAAGCGAGCAGATCAAACATCTCATGAAGTCATACAGCCATTACTCAGGTACGATTTGATATTGATGTTTTGGTGTGAAATGGTAACCCTTCTTTTATTCAGTCTCAAATAAAAAGAAAGCAGATCAAATCCTGGTCATGACCTGTAAATATAGACCAATGTAGGAAGACAACAAAGACATTTTACAAAGTCTGAAGACTTTTCCAGTAGAGTACATTTGGTGGTGAATTGGGCAATGCAAAGGTCTGATGGGTTCTCTATGGCAACCACCAACCTACAACACAACTCTCCATTGCTGCCTATTCACTCTGCCTAACTTCTTTCCTTTCCTAGGTCTTTTCGCAGCAGCAACCATCAACCTACAACACAACTCTCTATTACTCTCTATTCACTCTGCCTAACTTCTTTCCCTTTCCTAGGTCTGTTTCTTTTTTAATTGCCATTATGTTAGCAGTTTATTTAGTCCATCTCATTTTCCTTTTCTACATTGTTTTAATTGTAGGTTAGTAAATTTTTGAAATGCCATTTAACATTTGCTTATTTCTATCATTTTAGTGCTGATGGCCGTCCATTCAGACTTGGCAGTGGTCCAAACATGGAGAGGGTTCTTCACATGGATCAAGAATTGACACGGGTATAATTCAAATAAGATATACTGTACAAACTACAGAAAATTCTGGGGGAAAAATCATGAATAAAAATATATTTAGTAGGATCATCTATGTTATCCACTTCCAATGAGAAGCAAATTAATACAGTTCAGTTGATGATTGAATTGATGATTGAACCAGCCAATTTAAGAGCCTCTGTAATATGCATTGCAAAAATACAAGAGGCATATAATTAATGCATCAGTTAATTTCAATTGAAAAATAATAACTAATTAAACAACTAATTGTTGTTGTTGTTGTTGTTGTTGTTAATTTGATGTTTTTAATTTGAGCTGTTAATTTGTAGTTAAGATGTTGGATAAGAGTGCAAGTTTTTCTTGTTCGGGTTTATGCCCATTCTCTTTCCTGGCAATACTGTTACATGTCTTTTGGATGCCAAATAAATATTATTATTATTATTATTATTATAACAATTGTGTGTCATTTTTTAGCCCGTCAGAATGTATTTTTATGGTGCAGCAAAAGACTCTTATACTAACTTGAGTCTTGTGATCTCAAATGTACACAATATATTTTAATTATCTTCCTTAATTTCTTATAATAAAGCAAATTATATAAAAATCTATGGAAAGAATGAAAATTAATTCAAATTTATTCATTCATTGTATTGTGTAGAATGGAAAAACAGAAGTATTGACAGACGAAGCAAGGATGGCATTGAGACGAGCTGCTCGCTGGGCTCAATGTGGCTTAGTCCTTAGCTCATCACCCCCCGTGGAAACTGCTTCCGGCGACACTGGTCATGAAAAGAAGAAAGTGAATTCAGAATCAATTTGTAAAGAAAGAAATTCAGAACTTGCCAGGTATGGCCATTATGAATAAATTGACTTTACCTTTTGCTTACTTGGACATGCGCTTAGAGACCTTTTTAGTTGCGCCCAATAAATTGACCTGTTATTGTAAATTGTAGTATCTGTCTTCATAGAGGATTTCTGCTATTTTTCATAGGTGGCTGCTAGGTTTAAATTGTTTGTTTTTTGTTATTTATTTATTTGTTTTTTATTGATATTTAGGCTGATTTATGAATATTAAGAAAAAGCCAAGAATTTTTTTAATGAAGTCTCATTCGCTATACTTATATGAAACTATAGTGCACCCTCTATTTCGAGACCTCAAATTTCAAGACCCCTTTACTAAATCAAGGACACAACTTTTTAACACAAAGCCATCCCTCTAAATTGGAGACCGACTCCCGAAACCACCCTAAATTTTCAGGTCCCAAAGGTGTCTTGAATTGGAGGGCAAACTGTAGTAGGTTGTGTTCCACATTAACTCACCCTCCCTCTACAAAAACAGACACAAACAAAAATAATGTCAACTCTTTAAGTTATTCTTTTTTTTTTTAGGACTGACCCTGTGCGTCCATTTATTAGTGGGCATGTAGCAAACAGCATGGCCACTGAGGTCATTGCACTTTTACATGGTCTGCTGACAGCTCCTGAGTCAGCTGCTGCTCAAATCTGGGCTTCGGCTGTTGAAAGGGTGAGTGTGCTAGTCTATTTTGTGAATACTTACCTGGATAACAACCGACTAATTGCCATTGTTCCAAAAACGGAACACCCCTTCGAAAAAATGGAACAGTCCGACCCAAGGCGCCACATGCGAACCGTCTCCCTAACAAACGTCCTCATTCCCTTTTCGACGTTGTTCGAAGTCGGATGCTTTGAAAACTAGCAGGACTTTTCAAGCAATTCTGTTCTCCTTGGATTTATTTTTGCCTTGGATTTATTTTCAACTTGTGGTTGACAAGATATCCTTTTTATTGTAGTCTCGATCGACATGTCAGCCCGCAAGTCTTTGTGCTTGGCGTGTGGGGGCCCCAAACCGAGTGTTAAGCTCAATCGGCACTCGGGGTGCCCATTGTGTCGCTCGTGCAGCAAGGCTGTGCCTTGCGAGATTTGTGCGCACTGGCCCCCGACTAAGTTTGCGGCGGCTCTGGATTGGGCAGCTCAGGCTGCCACTCGATCTCAAGGTTCGCTGCCTGCTGCGTCGGGGGTTGTAGCGGCGCCGGATGACTCTCCTCCACCGCTGGAGGGTTCGTCGGCTTCGCGTTCGGCGGGTCCTTCCCCTCCGCTGGACCCAGTGCTGGTTTCGTTGATTTGGAGCAGGTGGGCCGGGTGGCTCGGGAGGTTTTCGCCGGAATGCGGGCCGCTTCAGCGGTCCCAGATCCTCCGGTTCCTGCCCCTCCTGTCCCTGGGGATGGATGGCCGGCGAGTCGCCTATGGATGGGTGAGTGTGCTGATTTCCTTAGTATGCCATATGACCAAATGATTGCCATTCATCTTATAAATATTCATTAGAATATATTAGTGATATATTATTATTATTTATTATACATAAATGTTTTTCATATTTTTCTTAATATTTTTAACATTTTAATTTCTTGTAATAAAATGCAATATAAAAATACCACTGGAAAAATACATGTAGAAATCAATCTGTAAAAGTAGGTCAACTAATGTTGGGCACCGCAAACTTAAAACAGTAACCCAGACATCTTTACCCTAAATAATACCAGCTCATCTCTCTGTAAAGCTCTGTGCAGGTTATCATGCCCATATATAGTCATGGTGTGTCTATATATGGTCATGATGTGATGCCATCATCCTCCATATTTGGGCATGTCACATTTGTCAAATAAAATTTGATAGTCTAAGAAGGGCTTAATCAAGAGTTCCCTCAATATAACATATTTGTGTACTTTCTTTTTACTTTGTAGGTTTTGACACATTCACTAAGCTTAGTGTCCACCTTGACCACTGCACTGTCCACACACATAGATCTCTTGACGTCTCACCCTCAAGGTGAGATGATTGAGAGTCTGATGTCTGTTTGTCGTAAAGTTGTGGCAGCATTTTGTGCCCTTGGAGGGTTCAAGGATAGCATCAAAGTTGGGCTACAGGTTCAGGTATGAAATAAGCTTAATGATATTTTTTGTGACAATTTTGTTTTTTTAGAAATTACACAAAATCTGTAACTTGGTGTAAGAAGCAAATAGAAATGGTCATCAAAGTCTTGTTTACTGATTGACCTTTTACCAACCCATCTAGGTTATTGGAGATGGTCCCAGTAGCATTACAGGCAAAGTTATAAGTATTTCAGAGCAGCAAGGAATTGCTACAGTGTTGTTTGATATCGCCAAGGAACATGGTATACCCAGATACAATGATACTCTGGAGGTGCCTTTGACAAGACTGCAAACACCTCACACTCAGGTAAGTTTATGTTGTACCAATTAAGCAAAATATATGAAAAATTGTATGTTTTAAGCATTTGTTGTTTGTTTCTTTTCATGTAAATTTAATTTTTAATTTTTTTTTTGTTTTGAGACAAATAAATGAAATAAAATTTCAATAATACTTAAATTAGATCTCTGTGAAGTAACTCTTTCCCAACTTTGAACACCTGAATGATACAATATGACACTTAACTTTTATGGTTGTGTAGAATTAAAGTAGCATTAAATTGCATTTTATAGGCACTGTCCTTGGACCAGTTATCCATGACTGAGAAGATAGTGTCGGCATTGCATGCTCTGCTGTTACCAGGTGGACAAGGTGCCCTGTCTCCGCTTGAGATTCCACTCCCTGCTATTGGTGATGGAAGCAGTATCACCATGGCAACATGCAGAGTGTTAGCAGAAATAAAATCTAGGTAAGGATTACAAAAACTGATTTGAATTCAAAGAATAATGAAAGGTATAGAATGAAGATAATAATTATTTTAATTAATAATGAATTAATTAAATTATAAATGAAATTCTTTTAATGTTCTGCTGATTTTTTTGCCTTTTTTTAAGAGCATGTTCAAGTTGTATATTTTGTAAACAACTAATAAATTTTTTTTCCCCAAATTTATTAGCTTATAAAAAATAACATGTACATTGTCTTATTGCATCCACACCTCTCAGGGCGTCTATGGTTTTAGCGGCAAATATGAAAAACACCGCATTTGCAGCAGAATTTGTGAGGTACTCCTGTGCACCTTTGGATGTATTGCGCTCTCTGTCAAGCCAATGTTCTGCAGGTAAGTCAAGACTATTTCCCTTCAAATAGTCACCCCTCAAAAATGATAATGAAATGATGATGAATATGTGGGTGTAGTTATGCAATGCACTGAGAGGGACGGTTCTATTATTTTTTAGGGGTGTTCATTAAACAGAACAGGTTTCCCTCCAATTAAATACCACTTTTGGGACCAGAGTTTCTGTGATCTTTAGCAGCTTTGGTCTCTAATTAGAATAATAAAGATAAAAGACATTTGTTAATTTGGGATCTCAGAAAAGTGGTCTTTAATTGGAGGGGTCTTTAATTGGAGGGAGACCTGTATCTTACTCAAACTACCAACATTACTCCTAATTTGTTTTGTTTATTTTTAAATAATTTAATAATGACAGGAGATAGATTACCGGTACTTTCATCTCAATGTGAGCGTCTTAGAATGTTGTATCGTGATTGTGCCAGACCCCCTCCACCGCCCAATAAATCTACAACAAGAGCAGTAAGTTATTTGATTATATTTGTTTTTTTTTTAAATTTTTGTTCTTAATGTGTCAACTCAAGTAGTTAATGACAATGTATTTTACATGATATAGATTGCCTGATTAACTGCTTGATTGATAGACAGAGAGTGTACCTATAACTTGATATACATGCTTGCTTTTTAATTTCAAGGCTCCGAGTATTATAAAACAACTCTAGTCCATGTCTATTGAATATTCTTCTGTACAGATGAAGGTGATGACATTTGACCCTACAAGAACATTTCCTCCGGTGTGTGGTTGTCTCTTTTACCAGGATTTTACCGGGCTAAGCTTCCTGTCAGATCTAACCTACAGCACCAGCTACCCACGTGGTACATTTGTTTATGCCAACCAACCTATACCAAGTATGGTAAGGTTTTTAAACAACAATTGAATCAAATTTCATGGCTGCTTATCATCATTATTGAACATCAGGCCTACTATACCACAATTTTTAAAAACTCAATTGTGGAGCTTTGGTGATGTCTATTTAAACATTTATATATATTTATTATGCATTTTTTATGTAAATTGTTTTAGGCCCCATCATTTTACTGGGAACTGAAACTATCATCGTTTGGGGACAGTGGAGAGGAACCAGGACCCTGTATCTCATTTGGTTTTGCTCCTGATGCTGACAGGAGACGGAGTGGGGCCTGGACCAACCCTGTAGGAACTGTACTGTTTCACAAGTAAGTAGACTTTAGTATTTTTTTATATAAATATTTTTCCCGTCACATCCAACAAGTTTACTTGCAAATAGAGGATTTAAACTATGTGGTACATCGTAATAAAACTTCCCCACACAACACAAAAAGTTACAAAGAAGATATGGTATATGTTACACAGACTTCACACAAGGAACTACATTGCTAAAAGTGAGAACAAAGTTATATATGCAGACAGTGAAGATAGGTGCAACACCGCAGTAAATAATAAGATCTCACTCATGAGCTAAGTACATGCATGTTAAAGGCCTCTGCGATATTTGTACTCTTTACAGCGATAATACACAAGACATGCTAATCTAATTTGAATGCGCCTTTAACACATATGCAATGTGGCAGGGAACACTTGCTAAATTTCCCCCAGCGCAAGTCCAGTGAAACATTTTAGTTTTCATTCAATTTTTAATTGTAATTTATACAAATGAAATAATCAATTAAAATATTGCATTTTATTAATATTTATTCAGTACAAACACTATATCTTTGTGAAAGAATTAATAAATTAATTATTGATTTACTTTTAAAGTAACGGCAGAGCAGTGCATTACAATGGGTCAAGTCTTCTACAGTGGCGAAGTGTTCGTCTTGACATCACACTTCAAAGTGGAGATGTTGCTGGAATTGGTTGGGAGAAGGATAAGACTTCTGTACGAGGTAATGAGAAAGGTCATGTTTTCTTCACATACAATGGCCGGAGGCTAGACACATCTTTGGATGATGTTGCCGGTGGGCTCTACCCTGTCGTTCATATACAAAAGAAGGTAATTATAATTGATATTTATAAATTATTAATGTTGTATTCAATATCATATCTTCTGTGTATTTATTTTTTTTACTAAAATTCTGTTCAAACCTGTTCTCACCAAATTACCACAATATTTATAAAAATTGTATTTCCTAATTTGTATTGCACTATATTTTCTATTAACTGCATGAGGTCCAATTGCCCTTTTCTTATGCACACAATGAAATGTTAAAAAAAGTACTACCCCAAGATAGGGGGTGCCCTATTAGAATTTAAATAGAGTTCAAAACTTGCAAAACGTGTTCGATACGAACGCCTTTTATGTTCTTTAGAAGGACCTCCTCTAGTTTGTGATAGTACCATAAATGCTTGAATAAGCACCATTCTCAAATATGTGGCGCAGCAAACCTGATTTTTTTTGCTTAGCGTCGCTCTCTAATTAGTGCTGTGGCACTTAATCAAGAGTATATATTACCCTGTGTGTAATGAAACACTCGAAAATTAGGGTTTTAAATACAATACAGTGTTAAAATGAATAAATAACACAATGGACACACAAGCATTTCTTTATAAACAATTATTTACGATGACGTAGGATCTATAATAGGCCAACAGAACTGCAGGAATACGTCGAGTAGGTAACACAGGAACGGGCATGGAAAGCAAAACGCCAATATTTTTTTATAAGCGCCGCTCTCAAATATGCACCGCTCTCGAATAAGCGCTGCACTGAAACATTTTGAGATACGATTGCATTGCAACGAAACCCTGAGAGTTAGACCTCTAGAAAATCTATACTCTTTGATTATATATACAGTACACATCTAATTTTTTGCAGAATACACGTATTCGCGCCAATTTTGGGTCACGCCCATTTGCATATGCAGAAGGCTTGCAGCATTACAAGGCAGCTGAGGGCTGTTCTGACTCAATGGAGGAGATCAGCGCCAACTTTGGGGTTTTACCATTTCACACAGAAGAGGAGAGTGATAGTGATGGCGCATCTTCAACTAGTCCTTCCTCGGAGTCTGCGGGTGATAGCAAGACAGCAACACCATTGGCTACTGTGCAGACCACCTTATGTAAAGTAGTAGAATCACTTTCACAACCACAAGGTTAGGTCAAAGGTTATTTCTTTCACATGTTATTGTTTAATTGTCTTATTATTGTGACTGTGATCTTTTGTAAACTTGTTTAGAATAATTATATTTTTAAAATTTTAATTTATATTTATTTACAAAAGCAATAATAATAGATGAAAAACATTGAAATTTACAAGCTCAAAGTTCAAGTACTAAGTAACTTAAAAACATTAAATAATAAGATACCTTACTATAATAACTTATTATATATAAGATGTTTAAAAAGTAGATTACCTCTTACTACTTAATATGATTTATACCATTCACATACAAAAACAAAACTATTAGTGTTTATTAAATTAGTATATTATTTATAAATAATTTAAATCTAAACAATTTTAATAATTATTGATTATACAATAATTGGAGATGTAATTTTTGTTTTCATCAATTAGAATATGACACTGACATGTCAAAGCTGTACAGACTAACCAAAAGCTATGATAACTTCACTAACACTGGACCAGATGTCCGCCTGCTAATGACCAATCAGGAGGACGATAGTGATGATGATGATGGTGATGAACATGCTCATGAAGATCACCATGCCTTGCTGGTGAAAGCTTGGGAAAGTAAAGTTTTTCCAGTTATTAGGAGACGATTTAGGAATGAAGCAGAAAGAAGATCTGGATTGGAACAAATAAAAGGAGCTTTGCAGCTAGGTAAAGACCATCACATTATTGTTGTTTTTTATTTTTGTTACTCTTTATTTATTAATTATTTAGGCCAACGATTGCCATAGCAAATTTAATCACAATTCTATGAAGAACACAACATGACGACGCGCGCAATGGATTGTTTTTAATGATGATCCATTCAGACTGCCACTGACAGTGAACAGAAGGCGTTGCGTCTGGATTCACATGACCGCTGTACGATGCAGAGAGTGCCCAACTTTAGTCTCATCATGAGGCATAGTGACTTGTTTTGATCTTGAGAAAAAATCCTGTAATATTGACAGGAATTGAACCCATTACTCTGGGATTGGAAGTAAGCATCTTAACCACCAAATTACAAATCCACTCTTTGTTATGTGTATATTTCTTCAATTCTAACAAATCATTTACCATAATACTCTTAATCTGTAAAGGTATGACTGACATAGCCCGGCAAACAGTGGAATTCCTTTATGAAGAGAACGGCGGAATGCCCAGAGACCTCCACCTGCCAACCATGGAAGACATCAAAGCAGAGGCGGCTAAGTTTTCGGTTGACAAGGTTCGTAAAGGCACATCTGTTGTCATATGTCAACCAGAGAATATCGTGTCTTCAAGTGGCACAATGGTTCCGAAGTATGCAGTCAGAGGAATGTTGAAGACATTTGGCTTAACTGGAGTTGTTCTTGATGTTGATACGGTAACTTCTTATGTTTAGTCTTTTGCAGTTGACTTTTAACAAATGATCGCTCACACTATGAACAACACATTCTATATCTATATATTAGGATGTATTTGATTACTGTACTGTACCTATTTAACACCAAGCTTTTTCTCACCTCAGCAAAATGAACTTGTCCAAATTGAGACTTACCTTCGAAGTGAGGGTGTTCTTGTTTGCTATTGGTATCCAATTGAGGCCCTACAGAAGCCAAGAGCAGGCTACAGACAAAGTGACTCATCTGACCTCGCAACATTTGACATCTCAAACATTAACATTCACAAGTAAGTGGAGCTATTGCTTTAATGTTTAGATGGTTAAAATTGGGTAAAATAAAGCCGGGCAACCACTACACACAATGATCATCGGCCGAAGCCATACTATGGAGAACGCAATGCCATGATATGCACGCAGTGGATCATTTTTAACATCCATCCATTCAGACTACCACCAACAATTGGCAGACAGCGGTGCATCATCTAATACGGGATTCGTTGGCCGATGGTCGTGAGTGCCTGGCTTAAGTATCAAGTAAAACAATTCCACTTTCTAAAGCTCATAATCGGATTTTACTTAGCATCACATTTACATTGTAATTGCTGAGCTGAGCGTTTGGCTAATTGGTATGGTTCCTGCCTCTTGCACGCCAGGGCCCGGGTTCGATACCCGGCTCTGTGTCGAGTATTGAATTCGGGTCTTTATAATAACAAAAAACGCTCAGCTCCTTGAATAACCCTCTCAGGAGGGTTAGGCGAGTTAAGGACCATGTTTGTATCTGTTTGATGTTTATTTAAGGCATTAATTTATAAGTTAGCACCGGACCTGCTTACAGGCATTGCCTTCTTGGTTTCAGTATTGTACCATAGGTGGTGGAATGAATAAAGATTATTATTATTATTATTATTATTATTATTATTATTGTTATTGTATATTATTTTATTATAAACCTTTTTAGTGTAAACAAAAATCAATAATCTGAGACTAAGGCCCAATGCACACTGCATCCCCAGCCACTTCCATGAGACTGTTGCGATAAAGATGATCTGCAGACGACTGGTGTATGATTGGTCATGTAATAACTCTGAAAGCTGACATATTTGTTGGCTGATGAAAGCCTGAGCAAGAATAATTGTTTTTGTGTTTCTGCAAGCTAATAAAATGTGTGAAATTCCTTTCAGTAGAAGACGTCAAAAGTTGAAATAAAAGTACATCTAAATTATTTACAGAGAACTTGTTGGCTTTGAATCCAGTCTTGCGAAGATGTACCTCCGGAGAGCTTTAATGAACTTACTACAACTTGCTGATAACAAACATGTGGTAGAAGCTCTCACCTGTCCTCTGACAACATCAGAAGCAGCTGCCAGTCAAAGTCAAGACACCACCCAGTTGAAGCTTCTATCTCATCTTCTTCTAGCTCCTCCTCAATCAGATGGCAGTCTCCAGTTGACATCATTGCTGACCACCAAGTCACCAAAGCAGAGTTTATCAAGTAGTCTGCTTCGCTTCTCTGATATCTTCTATGAAGATGCTGATGTCTTAAGAAATGACCTAAAAGCAGCAATAGCAACTGCTCTTAAACAGAGTGAAAGCCACTTAATGGAACTGACATCAGAGTTCTGTGGATTTTTACAGGTTGGTTAAACTCCTTTATTTAAACTTAAATATTTTTATTGTGTTGTTGAGCTTGTGAATGAGCTCCTGAAAAAGAATTCTGTGAAGCAGCTTTACTTGAAAGTAATTTTCTGAAATTAGTAAGCCATGATGTGGTGACATCAGCATCATAATTATGTCAAAATTTTCTTTCATATTCAATATTCAAAGTACACTTGCCAGTTACAGCATAGAACAATGCTTTATAAGGAAGGCTCGTACTTCAGCCCTCAAAATTAGGAAAAAAGTATGTCTGCCAAAAAAAAAAAAAAGAAAATCGTCTGCGCTATAAATAAAATGAAAATCAACCCATGCTGACAGTGGTGGATGTCTTTTCAAGTCACCCAATTAAGCTGGAAACCCTAGCCTACGTACTGATGTTCAAATCACAACTAATCATTGATAAAATGTTGAAAAATATGTCTATTTTATGATGATGAATACAATAAAACTAACTACGAAAATAAAATCCAATGGAATTACTGAATTCCGAATTTCACGCTAAACCGAATGGTCCCAAAACCATTCCTATTATTCCTTTAATAAAATACTTTCCGAAAACCGGATCTAGCTCAGTCCCAATAGCGTTGCCATAGAGATTATTAATAAAAACAACACTCCGGTAGGGCTAAATGTTAATGTTAGTGAAAGTTACGCCTTAATATTGTTTATAAATTGCATTATCGTCTTGCCTAATCCTTAAAAGTCGATTGCAATCTGGTTTCACGAATACACAGAAATACAACACTATAATATTGATTCCAATCATTTTTATTTCCAGACTTGTTCTCAAACGATTACAGTAGAACTGACCACTTTACTCCTCAATATAATCAGGCATAAAAAAGAATGTTGCATAAATTAACTTACAAATGCCCAAATTAAAACCTAGAGGGCGAAAAGAAATATAGCAGTGAGTAAACTCCAGAGGGCGGAAAAAATAAAGCAGTGAATAAGAAGCAAATAACAAAAGAACGAATACCACGCACTACTAGTCAACGCAGAATAGAATGGAGCATAGCGATTTGATTGAAAATAAATATAAAAATACAAATAAAAACGAATTCTCAAAACCATTCTCCCCACCATTGATATGCTATGTCTTGAAATGAAGACGGAACCCAAAGCCAGTTTCTACACAGCTGACTCTTTCAGTAGACGTTTATTTCGGATTTGGATGTCGTAGATTCATCAGTTCCTCAAAAACATGTTGCTAATTACGGAGGAAATTTGTAGAGAATGAAATTTAAATGTTTTAAACAAAACCATGAGGGTTTCTTATTTGTTTGAATAAATCTGTTTAATTAAAATTAATCTGTTTACATTGAGCTTCGTCCTGTCTGCAAGCTGTTGCGCACTACAAAACTTTGGACGATCTGGCGTCATCACAGCCAAGCACATTTTGCCCATCCATGACCCTACAAAAAAAAATTAACCAATTAGCACTCAGAGTATAGGAGGCACGACCTAATGTTTACACAAAGAATGTGTTGTTTAGAAAAAAAATGTCAGACCGAAAATGCAGGTAAAGACAATATAAAAGCATGAAACATACAATCCAGATTGATTTTATTCACATTTTACTCATAATACAAAATAAAAGACATTAAATAACTTGATTCCATTAAGGGTAAAGTTTAATATTGTATTAATGGCGATCCTGTCGTGTCTACCACAACTAGTACAACTAGTACCAGCGTAGGCCTGGGTTAGCTTGGGCTAGGCCTAAAATCTTCACGTCTGCGATTTTTTCGTTGGCGTTGGGCGGCTGCACCCCACTGTTTACTTCAACATTGCCGAATGTTGGCGTTGATTTTGAGGGCTGCGTACTTGGTATTTACTTGGTGTTGAAAGACATAGTTTGGAAGGCAACAACATAACCACCAGCCTACAGCTGAACTCTTAATTTTGTTATTTATTTCAGATTGCACCAAAGAATTTTCCATTTGAAGAGGTTGTAGTTAATGAAAATAAGATCAACACAGACCTGAAGTTTCCTGGAGCATTTGCCATTGTTGTGAGCTGTAGACAAGACAGTAGAACATCTAAGAAAGAGTGAGTTCTGAAACTAGTATCTAGATTAGAGTAACTCTTTCACCGTTATTCCATATAGCTGTTAGCAAAAACTATGGTATTGTATAGCATTTAGATATTAATTTGTTACTAACAAAACAGTTCTATTGGGGTTTTTTTTTCTAAAATTATCTATGGGATATTGTAACTACTCAGTAAGTTTTAAGTTTTGATAATAGATTTATTTTGTATTTATTGCAGGATGTCTTTGTACCAAGCTCCATGGGCTAGGATTTTTCATTATGGGCTAGGACATAAAATTAAGAGATCTGGCCAAACTGCACCAAGAGAAGTAATATCTTATCCTGCCAATGCTTCGTCGAGTAATGCTGGAGGCTTAGCAGGACCACCAAGCTATGACTTACAGCCGTATCCATCAGTTATCCTTCCATGTGATTGCATTTATGCTAAGATTGGAGTGTCACCTCCTCCAGGGTTTGTCATTACTGTGCATGCATTACCATCTAATTTTCCATTGGCAATGGCCTTCATTGAAACTCTTATTAGTTACTGTACTGATGCTAAGCTTGCTTATCCTGAAAGCCTTCAGACATCCATTACCACCACCATGAATGAAGGTGAGAAGATAGTGAGAAAACAAGATGTACCACTTGGAAGCAGTGTTCTGTTATATATATTAGAACTCATAGCAAATTATGTATGGACAACATCAATTCCACCATCCATCAAGGAATACCTCTTCCATATGATGGCACAGCTCCTGAGATTGGCACGAAAGAAAGAAGCTGGGCAGCCGATGATGCCCTCTTTAAGTCTGATGCTTCGACTTCAGCAGCTTCAACTAGAGCTTTTAAAGCTATATGAATTGGAAGTCATAGAGACATCTGGTGAATTTTGCAGACACTCTACATATTTCTTTTCATTGATGGAAATCTGCTTAGCTGTCTCAGAACTTGGTACTCCTGTAGGTTCACCAACACCAGTGTCACCAAGCACATCTTTGATGGGCTCTTTTGGACTGCCATCTAGTCACAGTTCAGCAAAACGCAAGAAAACAAAGTTAAAAAAAGGCATAATGCCAAGACGAAGCAGTGAATCAGAGGTAGACTCTGCTAGGCGGAAGAGATCGGATGAGCATTTGTGGTTTCAGCGTGCAACATCAGCTTCAGTGTTACTTCGATGTCTGTCACATGAATTTCAAACAGACGAAAGTACAATGGAAGAGTCTTTGCTAGAAGCGCATCAGAAAATAAGCTCTCCAGCATGTCATTCAAGACTTTTGATAATTTCTGGTATTCCAGTTTGTTTGGATGAACCTACTGTGAGAAGAGCTATCACAGAGATTGCCAATGCCCATGGTGGTCTTTTTAAGGATGAGCTTTGGATACCAATAGAGCAACATAAGCAAGGTTTATTAAAAGAGACTACTGAACAGAAATCTGCAGAGACTTCTCAGGGACATAGATCAGATGATGATTCCACCTTGCAACTTTGTGCTGATGTTCAGAGTCTATTAGCAGAATTACTATCTGGTATGGATCTATGGCAAGAACAACAACAACAACTAGCATCTGTCACAGATAGACCACCTCCTGCAGTTCAAGCAGCAGAAACAGTAGGAGCAACTGCAACAAATCCAGATGGTAGTATTGATGTTGATTCAGATAATATTCCATGCTCAAGGATAAAAGGCTATGCTGTGTTACAAGTAAGGAGCCATGCTAAACTGGAGAATATGGAGAGTTCACTTCTAAGTAGCAAAGCACTATTTCAAATAGATGGTGAGACTGTTGCAGGAGAGGACATCTTAACCATTGCTTCTGTTAATCCAGTTCTCCTCACAGATGCTGCAGAAATTAAAATATTACTAGAATACCTGAGAGCCAAGCTTCAGTTATCAGAAAACTGTTTGAATTACAAAGCTGCTCAGATCATGTCAGAGATGTTTTTCAGTACAGTCACAGCAACTGAATCTTCAAAGATAAAAGAACAAGAAAAGCCTGTTGAATCTCCCGATGTCCCACAAACCCTTACCAAAGAGCAGATTCTTCAGCAGATTCCAGGCAACCTCATGTATGAGTTTTTTACAGGTAGTAAAGCACCAAAGAAATCTTGCTCTGAACAAGTGGTGCAAGTCTTACGTCATTATGGTATTCCTAAACCATCAAAACCCAAAAAGTCATTACCAAAGTCTTCTAAAGAACCTGGAAAAGGTGTTGGGAAGAAGAGCACAAAATCTGCGAAAGAAAAAATGCTTGTAGCAGAAGTTACATCTCCTCCAAAATCAAAAACAGGAGAGAAGAAAGTAAGGAAGGTAGAGAAAGGGACACGAGAGGCAAGTGAGTTGAAAGGCAAAGAAGTACATGAAGAAAGAGTGCTGACTAATTTAGGCTTTCTTCAGTATGTGTCAGAGAAAGTAAAAGAAGATGTCACTGCAGTTTGGAGAGGAATCATGGCTTGTGGCTACAGCCTGCAATTTGAAAAGTAAGTTGATTATTTGTTGTATTGTAACCCTACGTAATTCTACTAATGTGAATAAAACTTTTCTTCTGGCTAACGTATAACATCTCGTCTGAGATGCATCGTCAAGCCAACTGGTTTGATGATGAATAACTGACCTGTGACCGATAAGTTTTATTTTTTCTAGTACAGTTGTGATACCTGGATACCTCTACTTAATATTTATTGAAATTACCAGATCATGATAAAGTATATAATAATCAAGTTATAGAGGATTCTGTACACAAGTACTCCATCAACACAATAGGTCAGAGTTCAAAATATGAAGTATATTTATTTCTTTAACATTAGGGTCTTGAATAAAATGTGAGTGATTAATGTTTTTATATTGCCTGCAAATTTCTGCATTAGGTTGTTCAGTCCAGATAGCAATTCAGCACTATCAACTTTGAAGAATTGGAGGAATGAAAAAGATCTTGCATTAATTTCCTTTGTCAACTCCCTCTGTCGGAAATTGGCTGTTACACCAACTAGACTTCACCCCCATGAAATATATGTGTCTGAAGCAGAGTTAGCTTATTCTGACTACCAGTCCTTACAAGGTATTTTGTATAAATATGCATATTTTCATCTTGAGATAATGTCTGTGACTGGAAAACAAATACATTTTGAAATATGAGAAACATTTTGACAAATAGATTTGGTGTTCGAATTCTTTTTCCATGTTTAATTTGCAATTTAATTTTGCTGTAGCTTCTGATATAATTGTGTAATATTTATTTAAGGTACCTCAACCGAAGTCCTCATTCTCCGCTTTGCACTTCTTCAAAACCTTAACAACCAGCTGGAAGCATGCTTCTTGCCACTTGTGGATCTCAGACCAGCTAAGACATTTAACTTGTCATCAGCAGCATTGCTTGAGCAGTCAAGAGGTCTTCTCTTCTACGACACCAAGGCCAAGTTATTCAACACAATACTTGATGCTACAGCTCAGCGTAATGTTGACCAGGCTGCCCCTGAGATCACCCTTGATCCCCTGGAAGTGTTGGGTGGTAGGTGTTTTTCATATGGTCATCTGTTTTGTGAATACGTCCATGAATTAACCGGTATATGCTAATTTCAATTTTTTGCTATTAAACTCTGAATGGTAAGTGTATGGTTGCTCGCACTAAAAGGAACATTGGGGCCTGTTACATAATATTGTTGCGTTATATACACCTGGGTCGGATGATTCCATTATTTTCAAGGTAAGATCTTAAAAGGAAATTGGCATATATTGGTTCATCTTGGTAAGTATCAAACTCATTGACCAACAAGAAACACAATAAATTCTGATTTGTGTGATTTTATGAAGGCTTTCATGGTCTGTTCAATTAGAGATAACAGGTCTATATTAGGTTGCCAGGTTTAACAAAATGTTCTTTGGAACCAGAATAGTCATGTGTATCATCTAACAACTAATGTACAGTAACATACAACAGTCATTATTATAACTGAAATCCAAACCCAAAAATGTGACTTTATGATTTGATTCATTTAAATATTAAAAAATAGCTATTCTGGCCGTGTTTAATTGAATATTTACTATAATTGATTAACATGACATCTTTGCCAACAGCTGATGTTACAGGGTGCCTGTCTACACAATTTTGCCAAGCAGCTCGTCAACTGTCAACTGTTCCTTCCTCTAAATTATGTGTTAAGTTAGCGAGCGGAGGAGACCCAACTTATGCATTCAATGTCCGTCTCACTGGTGAAGAGGTTCACGGCAATAGTAAGTGCTACTATAGGATATAGGGTACTCCTATATCAGAGGTGAATTTTCAAGTTGGGTGGACCAGCCTGCCCCTCCCAACCCAATTATTTTGGGAAAAGGGATATTGCCACAGTTGGTGTTAATACACTAAATACAATGGAATTGTAATTATATTTGATATTCAATTAAATAAAGATAAATTTCATAAAGTTATAATCTATCATTATTATTATATATCGTGTATCATATAGATAAAATATTCACAACCTTATTTTACTTACAGTGCTTACTTTTTTTGTTTAAGGTGGCTCATTCCGTCATTTTCTCGGCCAAGTCACCAAAGAATTACTGAGTCCTTCCTTAGGCCTTCTTGTACCATCCCCTAGTGCATCAGTTGGTAAAAATATAGGCAGATACATGCTCCGTCCAGGCCCGTTAACATATCCAGAGGAGAAGTTTCTACAATTCCTAGGCCAGTTTCTCGGGATAGCCCTAAGGGCTGATATTCCCCTAGATCTTGATCTCATGCCCTGCTTCTGGAAGGGATTGGTAGGGATAGATATGGACATTGATGCAGACTTAAAAGAAGTGGATATTGTCACATATAAATACCTCCAAGATTTGGAAAAGGTAAGCATTCATATTTAATTAGATTTTTCTCATTTAGAATTTGCTTAGCACAGTGTTAGCATTTTTTCCCCCCAACCTCAAGGTTTTAATCCCTTGCTGTCTATATCGCTTGTGTCTTTACTTCTCTCCACCCAGTAATATAAATAGATAACTGGTGGGTATTAATCAGTTTTCCTTCATTAATGAAAACAATATACCAAGGAGCTTATTCTATATTTCTTAACAGGTAACAAATGAGAAAGATTTCCTGTCACTGTTGGCGAAGTACTCAGTAAATGAAAATCAAGAGGTTGAGTGTGATGAAGATGAGGAGGAAAGTCAATATACTCATAAGTTCACTCACACTACACTCACAGGTGTTGAGGTTGAACTTATAGATGAGGGTCATGATATTAGACTCAGGTGTGTGGTTAAGTCATTTAAAATTGTTCCTTTTATGACATTGTAGTAGGATGGAAAAGCCTGCGTGCTATATATCCTTCCTTTCATCATACATATTATTCTTCTTTTCTGGCTTCTATCTTTTTCTTCTTCCTCTCTTTCTAACACTCACGTCTTTCATTTCTCATCACTCTTTCAATATATCACAGTCTCTATCCATTTTTATCACTTTCTCAATTTCTTCTCTCCCTCCTAACCTCCTCACACTCAAAATACAGCTATAGGGTAAACATACAGACAATGCAAAGACATTACTTATGGATAATTATTGTAATTGGTCGAAGTATAGATAATGAAAATCACTTTATTCTGAGTTCCTTTCATTTCATATTATTATTCTTGTTAGCTGGGACAATCGCCTTGAATTCATCAAAGCCATAAGGGAGCTACGCCTGGAAGAGATGGTATGCTGGGAGCGAATGCAAGCAGTTCGATGTGGCCTAGCCTCCATTGTCCCTATACAACTACTCTCCATCATGTCAGTGCAGGACATTGAACTAAGGCTATGTGGGCTACCAACAGTTGACTTAGATTTCCTCAAGGTAAGATTCGTACAGAAGAAAATATTTGTCATATTTAGTAAAACATATTTACAGTATTAAAATGATAAATGCCAAGTTTCCCTTTGTGGAACTTACCTCTCAAAAATAAAGGCGTTTTCCATCTTGCTGTAAATGAAAGCTTCAGTTCTTGCCCATACTATACCCTACACATCCTCATTCCCTTTTTGTTTATAGCAGACAGTGAGATAGCTTAACAGAAGTGCTTCACAAAAGTGGGCTCTACGATATACACATCCGGGCTGTCTGGGCTAAGCTGTCCGATATGGGGTCTGACAAACATGGTCTATGGGTGGGCATCTAGAGGGCTAAAAAACTTGTATCTTAAACTGGGCAATTTTAGGCAGTTCAGAGACATTTTAGAATATATTATGCACAAGTTTTTTTTTTATATATATTTTGGTCTGATGAGTTGTTAGCAAGAGAGCTTGGCATGTCAAATAGCAGGGCTTATACCCCTGCTCCTCCCTCTCCACTGACACACCACTGTGAGTAAATGAAGTATTGTTCTGCAGAAGCCAGCTAAATTAATAGTTCAAAGATAAATGCTATTCGAGGTATTGTAATGTTAAACTATGAAACCAGAACTTCATAGTCAACTTATTATGTTTCTGTGATTTGCTAGGCACACACCATGTACCAGGTGGGCTTAGTTGAAACAGATCCACACATACAATTCTTCTGGCAAGCTCTCGAAAGCTTCTCACAGGATAACCTATGTCGTTTTGTGAAGTTTGCTTGTAACCAGCAGCGAATTCCATGCACCTGTCCATGTAAGGATGGTAACGCAGACACTACTCACGTACCTCCTTATCCAATGAAGATTGCACCCCCAGATGGCTCAAGTGGTATGTACAAAATTATCATTTTCTTGCTCATCTTTCAAAGTGTTTTTTCTTACAAATTAATAGTAAATCAATAAAACTAACCCAAAAAAAAAAAAAATTGATTAACTTTAACATACAGTGAGAATGATAATATTTTCAAAATCAATTATAAATTAGTAACTACCACAGAATTAATTTTATCTGGTGAGGATAGAGTCTTGCATGTTTGTTAACAAAATTTTTATAACCATGCTATTGAGATTTTAATATTTGTCTCATTATTTTACCTTCATATGTGGTAGTGCAACAAAACGACCGTAAATTTGAATCAAACACTATTGTATTACTTTATTCCTAGACTAACACTATCTCCACATTATTCAAAATATTAAATTTTTATTTTTAGGATCGCCTGACTTGAGGTTCATCCGTGTGGAGACCTGCATGTTCATGGTGAAACTACCGCAATATTCCAGTTTAGAGATCATGAAGAAGAGACTCTTATATGCCATCAACTGTAGGGATGATCCCCTGAGTGGCTAGCAATCTTAATTACAAATTAACAACTTAATAAATGAAACTGGGCAATCACTGCACCCGGCAGTTGTCAGCCGACGTGATTCTATGGAGAACGCAACACCACAACGTGCACGAAACTGATCCTTTTTAATGACCATCCCTTCAGACAGCCACCAAAAATCAGCAAACACAGCGGCGCATCGCCTAGTGCTCAAAGGAAGTTTGGATTTGTCAGCCAACAGTCATACAACTACCATACGATGCAGTGAGTTTACTGCTTAAGATTCAGGAACATTCTTCAATGTGGGTAGCGGTCACATAAACAAATTAACATAGATTATGTCAGATTTTTTCAAGGCGATTGCTGGAAGAGCGGTAAACCTATAGCTATCATTATTTGTAAATTTTATTGAATATTGTGTGAATTTGTTTGTGTATGTATGTGTGAGCATGTTGCAATGTTGGCAATTAAGCTAGTAATGTATATAAAATGGTAGCCCATTTGTTTTCATGAAAACAAAAGAGTGTTTAATTTTATAATACATAAAAAAAGGAAAGGGAGATATAGAAAATGCTATTTTGAAACGGAGCCTCCATATTAAAACTTGAAATTACCATTGTTATATGACTTGGAAGATGACCTTTAAGTTAATTAACTTTTTAAAGTTAATTGATGCTATCTTTTTAATTGCCCAACAAACTAATTATCAGTATCACTATCATTTTATTGTTGTTATTCATATTATCACTCATACTATTATTATTATTATTATTATTATTGTTATTATTGATGAATATACTGCATCACTTGATAAAAGGCTCTATATATTTCTATATTATTATTATTATTGTTATTATTATTATTATTATTATTTTAAAATATGTGCAGAATTGTTGAAACTTTTTATTACAAGAAAAAAATATAAATAATATTATCTGTGATGTGACTGCAAGTAAACCAAGTACTTTCCTTGGTACTATATGTTATGGAAACTTATTAAGAATCGCAGGAGAATAGCTTGTTAATGATAGTGGATGAATCCATGTGTAATTTAACCATAACAATCTACCAGCAAATTTAAGATTAATTATTATGAGAGAAGTTTGTTTTACAAACTTAAACAAAGATGGTATTGTAGGTATTGCTATGGGGTATCACTGTAATAGAAACTAATGAAACTTAAGCTGAACTTAAATGCATTTTCCATGTTTTTTGAAGGACAAATCATAAAATAAAGTTTAGGTTAGTACTTAGTAATACTAATTTATTGAATAGATAGATGATCAACAAATATACTGTAAATTAATGAGCTTTAATATAATATGTAATGTAAAAGAAATACAAGACATTTAATATATGAAATAGAGTCTGCAGATTTAGTTGAATTTAGGTCATTTATTTTGATATTATCTTACCTACAAAGCTATTTTTGCTTTTTTACTGTTGAGCTATATTCAAGATATTTCAAAGTATTTTTGGAAACTTAAAGGTGTATTAATATTATTGATATAATTTAGAAAATAGTGCCACACATGTTAATATGTGTCAATTATTTGGAGATTAAACATTCATCTACTTGAATCAATCACATGCAGATGGAATCCTCACCTGTTGCAATTGAACATTATCCTGTTGCATGTGGAAACCTTACCTGCTGCATATGGAACCTTCTTCCATTGCAGGTGGTACACTCACCTGTGACAAGTGCAACTTTCACTTGTGGCAGGTGAAAATGTCACTTGTTTCAGGTGGTCCACTCATTGTAGGTGGTATTCTTACCTGTTGCATATAGTACCCCACCTGCCTCCTGGTCACAGTCATAAACTTAGATATAAAAAATAACAATTACCAAGCAAGAATTTCGATGGAAATAACTACTTGTCAAAATATATTAATTATGCGTAAATTTGAATTATTAATTAAAAAATTTAAATACTGCTTCCTTAGACAATGCTTCGTAAAGCAAACCAAAGAAAAATTTCTATTTTCACTAACAAATAGCTATTAATGGGAATATTCTATAAAAAAAAATTAATATTGAAAGAGTTTTGTAAATGAATGATGTGGCAATGTTTTTGTCCATCATGGAGTTCCATTACCCGATTCTGGGTTGACAATGAATAATGAAGATGAATGATGACGTTATATGTTTAAAAATAAATTAGTTACATTTATGATTGTTCATAGTCATTAGTAATTAGCATGTGTTGGACCTGATTTATCAAACTATTATTCAGAAAAAGTTTAATTATTTATTAATTAGGTTTAATTTTCTATTAATTAATATTATGCTGAGTGGATACTGTGTGTAATTATTTATATAGGTGCTTAACCTGATCTATTAAAACAAGTCGGAAATATTTTTGAATTATATTTAAAGTGATTAACTAAATAATACATGAAATCTAAAACATGTTTTGTTTAAATTTTCTAGACTTACGATAATACCATTATTGACAAGTCTCAGTATTTTTCTGCTTGTAGATTTTTATTATTATTTGTAATCATTTATTAAAGTGGTAAACTCTTGACGATCAATAAATAACCAAGCAATCATACAGTTACAAAGCTATGGCTGATATTCCTATTTCCCTTTGAATAGATGTATAAATATCAAGCTTATATCCTAATATGGTAGGACAATTTCAAATATGGCAGTAATTTGCCATAATAATATATATTCAAACTAGCCATGTTGTATTGTGTCTCATCTTGCTTCTTTAGCATTTACTTATTGTTACCAAGTTCTTGAATCTCAGTGGCGGATCCAGGAATTTGAAATAGAGGGGGCCCAGGAGAGCAATTATGGCATCTCTAGATGGCCGGAAATGGCATTCTCAGACTTAAAAATTTGGAAATAATTTTCTTTTTTTTAATTTTTTACAATTTTGAAAAATTTAGGGGGGCTTAACTAAGCCACCCCCCCCCCCCCTTGAACCCCTTGAATCCACCACTAAAAATGAAGTACTGAGTACACATCTAGAAGCCAATTTGGAACTAAAGTCTGGTAGTTAAGATGTTCACCTTTCAATATAAATGTCCTGGGTTCAACTCTTCAGATTATATTTCACACAACACAACTCCGAAAGCCTTATAATATGATGTACAGTATTTAGTTATTTATTAGCAAATTCTAATAAAAGTATCAGCCTACACCCACATAAGGGATAAATGTAGCCTTAAAGAGGGGCCTCTGGTTAATAGCCCTTTACAAAGATTTGATGTTTATTGATTTATTTAAATAAAAAAATATTTATTTCTAATCCTTGATCTAATGATCTATGGATCGTGTTATACTCAGTGAAACAGCGAAGAAAAATACTGTTCAATTTACTTTCAACCAGCAAGAGTTATGTTAAATATGACTGTCTAATTACAGTACTTTATTTTGAGGCTAGGTGAAATGAGATGCAACACTCATTCTCTTTACAGCTATAGTATTTGCAAATCTATATGAAATTTAATTACCAAAATTGTTAATTCAGAATACAGGAGTATCATTTTGTTGTTTAATGTATGACATTTTTCAAAGTTTTATTAATAAGTGAATTATGTTATGTTTATTATTTGATTTTATATAATCTACAAATGTAAGTTTTTTTTTTAAATTTCAACAGCAATATTAATTATGCAAATTTATATTTTTCCCAACAATGTTGTTAATTATGCTAATTTGAATAGTTTAATTGTAAGGTGCAATAGTAGAAACACCTGCAAATGACATGAATGTATTTTTGAACTCCTAATTGAAAAATCAAGGACTTCTGTAACGTTTAGAACTCTCTGTGTGTATTGAGTAAGTGATATCCGCATACGTTAAAGATAGACATAATTTGGTGTGTAAAGAGTTTGAAAGAGGGGGTAGGTACAGTAAAATGAATAGATTATGTGACGTTCATGAGTAAAAGTGCTTCCTTGTTTTGTGCTGGTTTTGTATTCACCTTTCAAATAATAAAACAGCAAGCAATTAGAAAATAAATATACCATTTGTGTTTGTATTTATTGCAATGGAAATAATTGATTTGTCCTTTCATCTCTATAAATATTTTAATCCCATATTCATAAAAGACTGGTTGAGTGCTGAGAGGTATTGTTTCTGTTTCTTGTGCTGAAGACCCTAGCTCAAACCTGGCCACTGTTGGGTTTTAATTTGATTGCTTGGCTCCTCAAACAACCCTCATAGGCATTGTGTCACATGGCACAGTAGGTGCTGCAGATCTCCGGGAGCCCAGGCCTGAATTTCTGATTTCCAACGAAGAATTAATGTCATTGAAGTTGAAGTCCTGTCAGTTGACAACTTAATGAATGTATGCTGATGTTTCTCATGTAACATAATTATTTCCTTCCAATAAAGAATAGACTAAATTACATATCAATTTAATAGTTCACATGCCAAACAATGGAATAAATTGTAACATAAAAAGAGCTCTTTATCTTATATGATAACACCCTTAATTTCTATAATACATTTTTAAATCAGTAAAAGTAGACGTTAATTTGTTCCCATACTTCATTAAATTGTTTCCGTCATTTACTTATGCAAAACTAAACTTAACCCTTTAGTTGAAACATTTTGAATAAACTATTTCTTGACAAATTGAGCTTATTCCTATATCACTGGTACTGTATTACAACACTACCTCACATATTTGCAGTATTCACCAATTCCACTGTTTTATTATTTATATAATTATATACATTCACTTAATGAATAAAAAATCTCAAAAACCCACTTCAATATATTACTATTAAACATTGATTCACTTCCTATGAAATTACTGTAAATATTTTTGTATTTACTTTATGATAATTTAGACAAGACTTGTTTTTATGCCGTGTTTCGCAAACTTATTTTTTTAAAGATCGTCACATGAGAGCAGAAAAATAAATACAGTATAATGGAGACGGAAGAGAAAATAAAATTTATTGGTGAATGTAAACAATGTAGTAATGGGATGGTTAAATGCTTTAAATTTATATAATTAAAAAGAAATATACATACAGTATCTTATCGTAATAAAGATAAAGACAAGCTTTTATTTTTTTCTGAAATTTCAATTTCTTTGTGGCGGTGGTTTGCGCTAATAGGCAAAAAATAAAATTTTATTTTAATTCGAAATCATCATTGGCAGATGGCAAGTTCACTAAACAAGGTATGAAAATGTCTTGCCTTACCTGGCAGTAGACAAAGTACTTTTTGTCATGGGATACTAGGTAAAAAGTAGAATACAGTATCCTGCACTACCTGGGGAGTCTTCCTTGTCATGCATTGCCTAATTTCATTCCAAATCATTCACCTCCTACCAAGTACCCAATTTTTCTACGACAGCGGCATATCTACCACTCCCTCTAAAAATGCTTGTTCCCCCGAGTAGCCTGTCTCTCCTCCTCACTCACCACCCCCAAGTTGACGGATGCACTGTGGGCCCAGCTTAATAACTGCATATCATGATTGAAGAAGGAAACAAAACATTTACCGTATCTATTTGAATAAACGCCCCGGGGTGTAAGTTTATTGTTGAGAAGTGTTTTTGAGGGAGCGTTTATTTTTTTTGGTGTAACATTGACATGTATATACTCAAATAAATGCCCCCTAATTTTTCTGTAAATGTTGAACACATAATTTGCTTTCAAAATGTAAGAAGTTCACCTTCGAAATCTTTCGAAGTGTTATTGCATGATCATAAATAAAGACTTATTGATCCAAACCAGGTTAGAAAACTGTATTTCTCCTAGGGTAGAACATTAATAGAATGTGTTGAGAATGATGTTGCTTCCATTAGATTTGTTTAGTCATTCAGGGGGGCATTTATTCGAAGAAAAATATAAACGCCTGGGGCGTTTATTCCAAATGAGGCTCTAGAGGGGGCATTTATGAAAGGGGCATTTATTCTAATACTTCGGTATACAGTATGTGTACTAATTAGTAACAAATGCTCTGTAGGGTGGTTATCTCAAAATCTACACATCTAAGCTATGCTATAAACAACCAAATCATAAATAACAAAGCAACCCACAGGAAAACTTTACTAAGGAACTGTTCTTCTGGATTCTGTGGCTGTACTCCTTGCCCTATAAACAAAAATAGTGTTTAATATTATCTAAATGCATGTATTAATCTCATAGTAATAAAAAAAACATATACACTCCTCATTCTGTGTTGGAAAAAAAAACCAACTTGTGTTTGTGAGACACACGCATATTCCTGGCCTGTTCTGATTGGTCAGTTGTTAAGTTTGATTGCCACTCAAAAAAGATCCATTCATTTGCTTTGTTTATTTCAGTAATTTTTCAATTGAAAATTATGGTAATATTATTTTCTTGTCACTCCCAAAAAAACAATTTCTGTATTCTTTGCATAAGCCCTTTAAAAGGCTGCAAGTAAGCAGAATCTTCTAATCGAATATTTCTAACTTATTTAATTTAAGCAATGCATTTTTTGAATTTAATTTTTAACAGATTTTAAGGATTAAACACAGAATCATTTTAAAATGAATATTGAATTATTTTGTTAAAAATATACTGTACATGATGTGTTACTGACGATTACATATATTAGGAATTACAGATTTGTTATCATGAATTTTAAAAGTATACTATATACTATAACTCCTGATTAAATTAATAACAAAACATGATAGAATTTAATTAACATAATTGAAAGAAAAGAAGTGTAGTTACCGTGTCTTCCACCAAACCTTCCATCACCGAAGTTGAATGCTGTTGCAAATAGACCAAATGGAAAAGCACCAATACCAAACGACATCTGAAAATTCCCATCTCCAAACCCAAACCCATTAAAAGGCTGTAAAAGAAACAGAGCTACAAATAAGAGTTACATATTTAATTTACTTCAAAAACAGTGCACAGGTCAGGTATTTACTACTTTTTGTATGAGATGAACTTGAATATATCTGAAAGTTTTCTAGACACAAAACAAGAATTTCCTATGAAACAACATTATATTATAATAAGATTTCAGCATTTATATAGTGCTCTTCCCTGTCTTACAGCGCTTAAAAACTATAACAATGGAAAAAGGCAATTTTTGAGAAAGAAGAGATATGAATTGAGAATGAGTTGAATCAAGATAGCTTTTATTGTCCATTAAAAATAACAGAAATCCATTTGAAACTAAACAGAAGTTAAAAGTTATAACTTAAGCACTGTTAATCCTTATATAAGTGATTTGCTTTTATTTACTAATTGTCTACATCTAGATAGATGGTGAAAGTGCTAGGTTATCATATTATTATTACAGTACTTACACCTTGTGTTTCTGGTTCTGGTCTTTGCCCTGCTGGCCGAGGTGGAAGCTTTTCTCTTCAAACAAAAATAAAGAATATTGATTTATGCATATACACTGTATATCATAAATACACAATAATACCTGTATAAATAATAATTTAATAGCCAACATTTTACATATACTGTACCATATCCTCATTAACAATGGTGTTTGTTTAATATGACTGAAACTGAAATGATGCATCATTATTGGGATTTGAGCGTGTACTTTTATATTTGTATTTATATCTTGTATTTTCAATGTTTGAAGGGCAAAATTGAAATGAATGATTAACGAAAGCAAGTCTAAATTCTTGCATGATTTCCTTTTTGAAACATTCTTTATAATTCATATCCATGATTGTTTTGCATCTCTATAAAAAGAGGCTTCAAACTCGATTTTTCTTATACTTTTAGTTGGTTTACTAATCCTTATCTGCTGTTTGCCTTCTTACTTTTTTATTTTTTACAACATATCTTACTAATATTTATTATGAAAATAATCATTTTCCGTTATATTTATGTGAACAGGAAGTAAATAAATGTTACATTGAATTTAACTGAATCCTAACTCACCTTGGGTCTTGTTTACCTGTGTTCCCTCTCCCATATATTGGTATTACTTTATCTTTACTTATACCAGCTTTACACACAGGGCACACTTGCCTGTTTGGTCTAGTTTCTAACCACTGGTGTAAACATGGCCAACTGTAATAAAAAAATATATATAGTACTGTACATAATAAAGTAATAAGTGTTCTTTAAACAAGTCTACTTCAAATCAGATCATCAGATAATTCAAATGGTGAGAATTTAATGGATGGCCATAAACATTGTAAAAACAGTGTAACTTTTAAAAATTGTACTTATATATAATAGATAAAGCACTAGGCTTAATACAGTAGTAATAAATTTCTCTTGTTTCGGGCATTAATGATATTTTATTTTACCTATGGGAAATATTGGAAGGTACAAAAGATCCTCTAGGTCTTGGACTGTCTTTAACAGAACTACTTGACATAAAAAGTAATTCATATTTATTAATAATACTACAAAACAATTAAATTAAATACTATCATTTATCTTATATGATTATCACTCTGGCTATGCTTAGGCAATGACATACTGCTGCATTCATATACAGTAAATTAGCGAGGCTTACCAGAATAAATGGCCACATAAACTAACTACTGCATCCTTTGCGGTATCAAGGCATATATTGCACTCATAAGCACCATCCTCTGGCGGTATTGCTCCGCCAGGCCCACCACCACCCCTAGCATCTGTCGATGTAGACGGAGTGGGTCCCTCCGCTGCCCCAGAAGTGTCATCGGCAGTCGTACCCGTTCTTGATTCGGGGCCTGAAGATTCACTCATTTTTTCCAATCGTTCCTTACCACGTATCGGCGATTGAAAACGATAAAACCTTTCTATAGACAAACTATGTTAATTACTATAAACTTATTAGTGGTATTTCGTCATCTTTACTTGTTAATACACGTATTTTTATGTCGAAAAAAAAACAACACAACCCCAACTAGCGATCTTTATGTGATTGAGCCGCATGGTGGCGCGCTTCACAATTACAGAATGAGGATACCTGGGTACAGTAAAACTAAACTGTAACATTTTTATGTTTTGGCCTACTGAATATTGAGATGCAAATAATTAGTGAATTGACTAACATTAATCAAGCTTATATCTATTTTTATCATTTTAAAATAAAAAGAATATTATTTATTTTCATCACCATCATCTCAGGCATTATAACATCATCGCCATCATCATTATCATCATTTTCATCACTCTCCGTCATCGTTATCATTACCATCCTCATTATTATATAATCATCATCGTCGTCGTCGCCGATGATGATGATCATCATCCTCATCATCATCTTGATCATTAATTGGCATACTTGTCTTCATCTTTATCATCAATTCATCATCATCGATAATCCTTATCAGCATATAGGCCTACCATCATCATCATCATATCATCAATTCCTATTCTTATTATTATCATTCATTATCAGAGTATAAGGATTGTTATTATAATCATCATCATTATCATTATCATATTGTGGTATCGTTATTAAGTATCAGAACAAGTTGGCGGTTTAGCAATCACAAAAGTTAACATCCGTTTGTGTGTGAACAGTAGACTATACAACATGTTAGTCATAATATTATGATTATCAAGATGTAAAAGTATGAACATTGCATTGTCAAAATAAAAAAATAATTAACATTAATAACGATATTATGCCTACATATTACATTTACACGAAATGAATCGTTATGCGTGTGCTAAAAAACTGTTGTGTTATTTTTTTCTTTTTGATTTGGTTGTACGTCCGTAGGATGCCGTGCATATGTACAGGTGGCATTTATTGAATATTCAAATCACCATTCGAAAAGCACGCAGTGGTGTGCTACTCATTATGCCGTCGTCTTGTTAAAGAAGAGCAAGGGGTTTCGCATTAAGCTAAAATGGGACAAGGTAGCACTGCAGAAATAAAACAAAAGAAAGGTAGGTCTAACGATATGATAATGATAATAATAATACTAGGCCTTACCAATATTACAACTTTGATCCAGGACCAAGCCAATGGCGGATTGCGCCTAGGCATAGTTAGATTTTAAGGTTTTCCATTAGTTGTCGACAAGTTTACTTTACATCACCAGTCCGGAATTTATTTTGTATTTACAGCCAGTATCACATTTTGTCACATTAGGAGTTTACTAGCTCATCATTTACGAGTTATATTTAGATTTTGTTAATATCTGTATTCATTTTTTGTTTGTTTTATTTCTCCTCGCGGGTCGTATTGAGGCATGCAATGGAAACGTTTTCATTATGAATACTTTTAAAGAATGAAACTTTCTTACGTTTTAACAAATCAATTATGATATCTTTTCATTTTTTTTTCACTTTTTATAGGCCTACATAACTTGAAATTTAATAATAAAATAAACACTCTTCTCTGTTTCAAGAGCCATTTTCATTAAAAAATGTATTGTTATCATCCGGGATCTTTTATTCGTTTTGTGTTGGTTTATTGGAAAATTTCGCCACCGATGTTTTTGTCACGCGTCGTCGATATGTCACTTGAATTGTTGTCTGTAGTTGATGTTTAATAAACTTGTTAAATAGGATCCAGAAAGTAAATAATGATTTTGTATAATAGCTTAAATTGTTTCCAAATTTCAGTGTAAATAATATACTGGTGACATATTTTTAAAGTATATTAAATAGACCAACTACGGTTGGTCTTTCGACTTGCACTTTGTTTTGCTGGTGGTGGTGAACCAGCGGTTGCCGTTGGTCGAACACAAGAGATCGCCTGCCTCGCGGGGTTGATGTGGCTAGGTTAGAAGCCGTGACAGGCTGCCTAGCTTTCCCGTCGACTTTCGTTAAAGGCAAGCGAAGACCGTTGGACAAAGGGAAGCGGTACGTAAGAAAGTGCTCTAAAAGAGTTAATTAAAGCCTAGTCACTAGGGCCCAGTTTTGTATTTGATATTTTAAATTCTCGTTAAAATATTGCTTTTTTGTAACGAATGTTTTTTCACGTCACTGGATGGAGTCCGTGACGTGGGGTCAGTTTTAGTCCTAGGCATAGGCCTATATGGGGGCCCAGGTGTAGGCTACCCCCTGACTTAATAGAGTCTGTATTTCTCTGTTTATGGATGGCTTATATTCTATCAAAAATGTGCTTTTCCCATGCACATTTTTAATTGAAAGGTGCTTCAGCATATGCTTTGAATGTTATATTTTATGGCATTCTTTAAATATAAGGTTGTAAGGAAAATAATTTCCTTGTTTGTTTTTTGAGATGGACAATAACACTACTGTAAACAACCTCAAATATGAGCCCTGGGCTTCTTTATTTTAGGACCCTTAGAATTTTTGGTTGGGCTTCTTTTCGGGATGGGCCTCTTTTCGAGATCGGCTTATTTTCGAGATACTATAACAAACTGATAAATTAAAGAGTGGGGCTTCTTTTCGAGATGGGTTTCTTCTCGAGAAGGCTTCCACAAGGCTTCTGTTCAAGGTTTTGCAGTATCTACCTTGGATCATTTTTGTTTTTAAATTGTAAAATGAAACTGATAATTTTCTTGCAGAGACAGATGTATGCCCTCTCTCAAAGATAAAATTTTATAGCCTACTGTACAGTAAACATGTAGGGGTAGGGCACTAAACTTTCTGACTTGTGCCTCTGACAATATCCGACTATGTTCTGACGAAGACCTGCAGGGACCAGGGATGTAGCCCTGGAGGGGCCCACTGCCTCTTACTGTGCAGTCTGCAATTTTGAACCATTTTAAGCTACAGTAGACATTTCAGAACTAATTATTGCCAAAGAAATGTTGTTTTTTAAAATGTTTAGCGAGACAAGGGCCTTAGCCCTTCCTGCTAGTTTCTCACTGATTATTAAATATATCTTTTAAGCTTTCCATGTTTTTGTTTATAGTGATGACTGAGAAGTCCAAAGAAAATGGAGGTGGAATGGAAACAGACATGAATAAAGATGACAAACCCAAAGTCATCAAGAAACTGAGCTCCAAAGATGGAAAACCAATTGGAACCTACACGAAGGTACTGAGGGTAGTTTGTTTTTATGATTAATAAGACATTAGTACTGTAATAATAATAATTAATGTTATTATTTATTATTGTACTAGTAATGAGTGAAGACTTCATTTTTATGTCATTACAAAAGTAACATCACAATGACCAATTACAATATCGTAAATGATCCAAAAATAGTATGACAAGAGGACACTAAGAAAATGATTTGGGTATTCATTCAAGAGAGTGCCTCTTATATTACAAGTTATTTTGAGTGTTGAAATGTTATTGTGTTATACATGCTGTCACTTCCTGCAGTCTCCTGACAAAGTCCACTGTGTGGATGGAAGCTAGAGAATAAATTATATATTGTTAGTCTCAAAAGTGCTGCTGTCATTTATTTTATATTGTTACTGCAGTATGAGTATAGCATCATGATTAATTTTGTGAGAAACATGTTTTTTCATGGTTCAACCCATGGGCCAACTCAGTCCCGCCAAAGATTGTGATCTGGCCCAACCCGACATTGCTAAAAAAAAATTTTTTTCCCGGCTGATTTTTAGAAAAAAATTTTTCTGTTAATAAGAACACAACCTACTATAGAACTGTTAACAGGAGTCTGGCATTTCCTGAGCGTAGCTCGCTGTATCTGCAGGAGTGGTGTAGAGTATTGACATGGGGAGAGGGAGGCAAATAGGGAATTATGGGGTCGCTGATATGATGCGATGCATAACAATTTGCAGCCCCGGCAAGCTCTGGCATCTTATTTTGTTCTGAAACATGCTTGGAAAACTTATTTTTACAGTCGGAAAGTGCCATTTCCAGGGGTGTCAACTTCCTCATCCCTAACCACGATGGGAGGGTGTGGGATTTGAGGTACTGTAGATGCTAGTGCTTTTTGGAATCGGACTCCTTATAGGGGAATTTCTAGCGCTGGCATTGTTTTTAACTTCTTAGTGCATGAGTGGATTTTTTTGTGCTAAGGAAATTTCTATTGGTAGAGTAGAGAACCTAGAGTGCAAGTTTTATTGTTTTTTTTCCTTTCAAAGTTATGAAATAAAAGAATAGAAAAATATACAGTATTCCAATTTAAGTGCCATTTCATCTAGAGGTGCCATGATCCTAAATTTTCTTACCTCAGCCCCACCATGGTTGGGTAGTGGTATTTTACCTTTGTCTTTGAAAGTCCTTCCCTTTCCCCCTTCTATTTCGAATCCAGTGCTATAAAAGAGAATGGGTTGGGCTGACATTGAAAAATTTGAGGCACTGTACACAATTTGTCGGCCTGCTGCTGGTCTCAGCAGATTGGAACTGGCCACCAGTTTCAAAAGCTTGAATACCCGGGCCATAAGGCAAGAGGCATGCTTAGCAACATAATTCACATTTTGTATAGCGCTTAATACTTATAGTACCTTGAGATTAATAATATAGGTTTTTCAGTGTTAATACATTGTCTCTGTCTATATTCATATGTTTCTAAATATATTTCAACATCAAATTTATGTTTGATTTGTATCCCACTGGAGATCAGTTTGTGAATGTAATGTGGAAATTTGCAGTGCTCTGCATTAGTAAGTAGGTGTAGAGAAATATAGTAGTTAATGTTTTACAGCAATGTATTATCTTATATAGATGTGGGAGTATTGTCAGTTTACAGCTACTGTATATTATCAGTTTACAGGTGCATGGAAAACTTAATATCATTGATTTAATTATGTTAATGGTTCCAAAAGTCATTCACAAACAATACAGTAATCTTAAAGTTGTGTGAACACCCCCTCCCCCAAATCAGTCCTTCATCCATATCTACTGTAGGAGATGCATGTGTCCATCCTGAAATATGTTCCTTTAATGCGATTTTGAATATTCTGCCATTATGACTAAGTCATACAGTATTAAATATATAGTATAGTATAAATGTAAAGATGATAATTGATGGTGATGGTGATAATGATATTATATTTCTTCCTTGTTAACATAAACTATAGATATACATAGTGATGGTTGTGATTATGATGAAGAATTCACATGATAATAATATTTGTCTAATGTTATGAAACCAATGTAGATTTATCACACAGTTCAATTTATTATTTTTTTTCAGGCTGAATTGATGAACCTCTCAGAAAGCCCAGTCTCAAGAAAGAAACATGCATGTTTGGCTGATGAATTCTGCGAGTAAGTAGTCAATTTTTTGGTATCTATCATTAGAAGCTATGATCTGATATGTTTTTATATTTACTAGAAAATGGCAGTTTGATTTTTTTTATAAGCATAAAAGCTATTGGTTCTCTCACAAACTTTGCCTACATTTCAATTAAATAACTGAATTGCTCAATTGAAAAGAACTCTTAAATTATCAAAAGGGAAAGGCTATTTTAAAATATTACTATCTGCAACCTGTCCAAATGCAAGGAGCTCATCCCCAGCTAACCTTCTCACCCCTACCATGCTCTTTTTACACTGCCAAGATCAGATTAAACACGCATTAATTCCTAAGTGATTACAAGCAAAGGTTAGGCCTACTGTACCTGACCACAGCTGTTGTAGGTTCCAGGTAAGACCTGTAATCTGGAATCAAATTTGGTGTTGTTTATACTGGCACTCCGGTTTGTACCAAGGTTGTCCAAGTCTGAATGCGTTTTGCACATCAAACCCAGAATGTTTAGCAACCTGAGTCATGTTTTTTGCCAGAGTTTCTACTCCGGGTACAGTATTGGAAAATCCCAGTTGGGTCCGATGTTTTGCTTGCAGTGTAAAAAGTGTATCAGACAGCTTAGTCACCCAGTCTGGCAAATCTCGCTGCTAGCAGCAGATACAGAAAATACCTTTGATTTAATGCTATTCATGTTATTTTGTATATTTTTTTTTTGTATTTTTAGAGATTAATGTCATCTATATTATTGTCATAAATAGGGACATACATTATTCTCAGACATACAGACAACAGAACATATAAAAATATTAATAAAATATTGTATACTGCAGTAGTAATCATCAAATCAGAAAATTCACATGCAGTATTTTCAAATTGCTTATCTGATTGCTTCTCATACCAAATTGTTATCCATGAAATTTCTGTTGTATTAACAGAATGAGAGATTGCTTAGAGCATTTTGTATTTCATATTAGCTAGTCTAATTCTCCATGAATCAGTATCTTTATTCAACATCAAAATTGAATTGTAGTAAAAAATGAATGTTAAGTAAATTATTGAGTAAATGTACAAACTAATTATATCTACAAAAGTACTGTAGTTGTGCAACAATTGGTTGAACATTGTAGAGATCAACAATAAGTGTTATCTATTTTCTGTCCTGGCTCTTATTAATATTTTTTCAGTTAAATCTGAACAGAAACCTATCAAATAATCAATTAAAGATGTACAGCTGAGTCAGTCATGAGTTTAACAAATTGAAAAAAAAAGTAAATTCCATATTTTAATTAATTTGTACATTATATTTAAGTAACTATCAATTAAACCTCTCAATTAGAAAAAAGAAATGCTTTCAATTAACTGACGGATAAATATTACTTTTGTGGTTATATTTTTTGCATTTAGACTAAAATAATAATGGCTAATAAACAATTTAAGGAGTTTTTATAATAGTATTAACATCTGTGGAATTCTTTTTTTGTTTCTATTTTGAAGGTAATAACTTATTAGATCTTTTTCAACGAACTATTTAAATTGGTTTCAATTAAATTTGTGAAGTTTCTGATTTTATTGGTGTATATTTAAGAACCATCATAAATTTAAAAAAAAAATTTATTTACAGACTTGTTACTGGAAAATCCTGTCAAAGGATAGAGAGAGTAATATTTATGCATCAAGCTGTTTTCTCATTATAATGTTACTTTGAAAGTGCTTGTATATGAAGTAGTATTTATTTTGATGGTACAAATTCATTAATTATTAATCAGATTATTTTTTTTCATATAGTCTTTTTTTATAATTTTCGTTCTCATATTACATTTACATCTTAGTTGTAGTGTAGTCTAGTAGTGTGTTTTATTTATACAGTAAATGTAATGTTCCATTATTCATGTATTTGTGGCTATTTTTATCTGTTAATTGGAAAAAATGTTGTTTATCAGCTGCTATTCGCATTACATCTTAGTTGTAGTTCTACATCCAGTAACATGTTTTATTTATGAATGTGATGTTTCATTCATATATTTGTGGCTATTTTTGTCTGTTAATAGGAAAACTGTTGTTTATCAGCTGCTGTTCTCCCACAGGGTAGACGTTTAAATTTTTCAGCAGAGTAAAGGTCATACTGTCATGTCAAGTAGAGCCGAGTACTATATAATGTCATATCATCTTCTAAATTGTTTATTGATTAGTTATTTTTTCATATTTTTTAGCAAGAATGGTGTCTGGGATCCAGAACGGTGGCATGCTTCATTCAGCAACAAGTCATCCAGGGGGAGTTCGCCAATTGGCTTTGAGGGAAAAGAGATCAAAAAGAAAACTCTTGGTATGTCATTCTGAATTGATGTGTAATTGTATTCAAATAGTTTAACCCAACGGAATTCTAACCAACACTACAGTCCTTAAGTGTGCAGTCTCGCATTATTTACAACATTGCTTTGGGCACATGCGTCTGCATCTAAGGGCACGATTGATAGCGCACATGTTTATGTCAGCTCACAAGCAATAATATCAATGTTTAGTTTTTGTATAAAATTTAATTTTTGGTTGGACATTTCTGTTGACAGTTATTCACTCTCATTATTTGGAAAACCTAAACCCTTGCCTCTTCTAATTATGAATATCGGATGAATTATTATTGTTAGAATACTTTATTATATTCTTCTGCATAAAAATCTCACTTTTTAAGGTAGCATTAATTACTTTATGTGTAGACCCAAAGGAAAGATTGAAAGAAGAACAGCGTGATGGTATTGTTCTAAGCCCACAGCGCCGCAGCTTTGTTCACGGCTGTCAGGTTAATACGACAAGCAGCGACAACAGTGGATCAAACCAATCAAATAACACATATGATAGCCGAGATGGACATGATCGGCCTCCTGTTCGTCGCATTGGTAGTGGAAGAATAATTCCACGTGCTAGTCCTTCAGATTACCAGGATAAAGATCGTGGACGTGGTCGGGATAGCAGAGATTATCGATACGAGTCACGTGGTCGTTATGATCGTGATAAGAGGACATATAAAAATAGTAAGAATAGTTTTTATTTAGTTTTTTCCATTTTCATTATTCATTTTGATTTTTTTTAAGGTTATTTTGATTATTAAGATACAAGTTTCTATTCATTGGTAATTGATATACAATCAGTACTGTTTTCAAATAACAATTATCAAGAGGTAAAAAAGAAAATGCTAAAAAAACGAATTGAAGAGATAAATAAATTATTTATTTTAAATTAATATTTTGAACCACAATGGAAATATGTCTACCTTTTCGGTACTTTCTTTTGTTTTTGTATTTGATATTATTTTAGTATTCAGAATAAATAAATAAAATAATACGAATAAATTAATCAATTAAGCTCTATCCTGTCCAATCTCTCAAATTTTATCTGATAGATACATGATATATGACTATATAATTGTCTGATGTAACCTCATCATGCCTATAAATGTAGGAAAATCACTAAAAATATGATAGTATAAACAGAGTATGAAGATTATTTTAATCATATGACTTTGAATTATAGGTCGCGAAGATGCCGAACCAGAATGGTTCACTGGGGGACCAACCTCACAGACCGACACCATCGAACTTCGTGGTTTCCAAGATGCTAACAGTAGTAGGAATTCTGCTGAGGAAAAGAAGAAAAAACCAGAGAAGGTAAAAAACAAGAAAGTAGAGCAAAATGGAACTGGTAAGCAAGAAGCTAGAATTTCTCCAGCACCTGAGGAACCAAAGGAAGAAAAGAAACCAGAGACTTCTGGTGGGACTAAAGAGTTTGACATCAACCAGTTCTTCACCTTAGCAGATAGTATTGAGAATATTTCGGTAAGTTCCAATCGTAGCTGCTTTGACACTTTGCCTTGCATTTTAAAAGTGCTATACTAAATAGCTGATTTGAATGTACAAAGCGGATTTAAATGTGCATGACTAAAATCAGTTTAACAAACCTAGGATGTCTGTTTTCATATTGGTCAGATAAAAACCCATAATTGTTTATCTAATTTTTTACCTAACAGTGTAAGAGATTCAGTTCTGACAAATTCTCTGCTTGTTTTTATTTCATTTTTTCATTTTGTTTTAATAGAGATGAATTTAATGCATTTTATTTTGATATTTCGTAGGTTCCTAGTCAAGATACAGTTGGATCTGGCAGCAGGTTCAGTCAGTGGTTTTCCAGCAACAGCACAAAATCTGTGTCTCCTGTACAAGAGAAACAAATGGGATTCCTTAGCGGTACGTAATACACTAGATGTGCATTATTATTGTGGGAAGTATTCCTGTTTATCTACAGTTATCTGTGTACATATTGCTTCACTAAACTAGAAGGTACTCATTTAAATTTTGGATGTAGAGTTTGTAAGGGAAATACTCGGTGGGTAGCCAACTAGTGAATTTAAGGTACACCTCAAATATAGTGTAACCACTACCCTTGAAGTAGTTATCTACATTTCAACTCGTTCATAATGTTACCCACAGAAAACTGTATTCCAAATTCTGCAGAAAACCTGTCATCCATGTCTTTAACATTTGTTTACCATGTGTACTGTCAACTTTGGATCTGCTCATCTCATCAAGTAGCTATATAAGATAAGCCAGGATATTTTTTGGACCTAATACAGAATATACACTTGCGTTTTATGGCAAGTATCTTTCACAAGGACACAAACCAGTAATTAGACTCAACTCTTGATTGAAAGCGCACATGCTTTTTGTTGCTATTTTCATGCATAATATATACTGGTTGTGTATTACAGTCGACCTTCCCATTTACGTACACCTTGGGCTGAAAGCAGTTCGTAATTGAGAAAATTCGTAAATCAGAAGTTCGTAAGAATAGCGCCCTCAAGTTTAAAAACGCCAAGTTGTAGCCTATAACTAGGCCTGCCTACCAATATCTAGGCTTAATTTTGCATTTAAGTGTTCAATAAACATTTATAAAAATTGTTGAAGAATCAATTAAATGTTAATGCAAGACAAACTAATAATGATTCATAATAGGCTAAGGAAATCGTTCCATGGATAGACCGACCTAATCTTCCATGTCACTATAGGCTGACTGTTCAACATACAGTGTTGTGGTTTAGCCAATGTTTAGCTGGGCCTAGCAGCAGCCATCTGCTAACTGAAGCTATGCCTCTGTCCGTAATTTATAGCAAATTTGTCAACAAACATTGATATAATTTGTATTAAAAGCACTGGGCTTATTATTTATCTAAGTCAAGGTATTTTTGTATAAATTAAAAAAAGGAACTTCCTATTTTTTCGACCTTCCTGACTTCCAAACATGTCATGAAACATGTTGCTGATGTCATCTTCTAAAAATAGAGCAGCTTGCTAATCGTTTTTGTTTTTTTTGACAGTGAAAAACAAATAATTAATACAGATGCTTATTGAATATCCGAACAGTGATTTATTATATACATTTATAATCGGACTAGCTGATTTGATTTACAGTGCATTTAGACCGCAGTTAACCATAGACAGTCTCAGAGTAGTATAGGCTGCCCAGCCTTGCCCTTAGCCCAGACAAGGTAGGCCTAGCAGCATGCACTGCCTGCCTGAATTTCGCCTAGTTTTGATTATTTTACATCATGTATTGGTTTGACTTTTCTAAGCCTAAAGTAGTATGATGTAGTCTAATTGTAGATAGTTTATCTTTCGTTTCTTTAAAAAAAAAATGTTGTTTAAATGTTGGTAAAATTTAATAAAAATCCCTTGAACAATTAATTTTTAGCATTATTTATTGTTTTTGTTTAGAACTGCAAGGTAGGCATAGTCCCAACTTGTCAGCATCTTTGTTCATGCCTATTAAACCTGATAGGGAAACTGGCCCACAATCCACCAGTGACATCCTAGCAATGTTGCAGCGCAGTAACATGGGTCCCCAAAGAAGCAACAACAGTGTTCAACGCTTTATGGAGCAGCACCAAGGAGGCAGGCAAAACAGATCGCGTAAGTTATGTTATGGTAACTTTCTCAAGAGCAGATGTAGTTCATTTCCTGCAAGCAATCACAATGATAACATACTTATCTCTGTATTATTTATTGACTAAGATGTACAATGCATGCTTGCTGTTAAAATGTGCTGTGCTATAATATTTAGTATTTTAAATTATGCAAACAATAATTATACTTCTACAACTCATCAAATGCCAGGTTTTCTTGGAATTAAAGTCTTATTTCCAGTAAATACATCCTTAAAAAGTCTCTGGGCTTTTTATATCTTCCTTATTCAGTACTCTATGTGATCTTGCATAGTAATAATAACTTTCACTTTGGCATTTTATTTATTTTATACAATTTTATTTAATTTTTATCTCTCAATTTTGTATTAAGTGAATTTGTTCTCATTTTTTTTGCAGCAACTCCACCACTACCAGGCAAAATAACCAGTGTCAGTGAATTGGAATCGCAGGTGAGGAGCCTAGCTGAAATAGAGGGTGAGCTGTACAACTCGCACTCTCATCACAACCGAAGCCAACACCAGCTTCACTTTGGGGAGCAGCCACCACACCAGATGATTCCTGAGCAGACAGCTTTCAACTCATTCCTAGCTAACATGCAGATTAAGAGAGGTGCAGTCCAAAGGTCTCATTTGGTAGGTATACCAACTAATTCTCCCATTTCAAGAAAGTATGTAGTGCTCTGTAATATTTATGTTGAATAAATGCAGCTTGGAAATGGGTTTGTTAATGGTTACTAGAAAAATCATGTGAATTTCTAGGAACAAACCATTTATCTAGGGTCTGGAATGTGAGGAGCGTAACCACCAGGCTACAGTTGCACTTCATTTAATCTGCATTTTGGATCCCTAGTACTGTAGTGTTTGCATTATTATAATAATAATTGTACATCAACATTACTGGTATTCAGGTGTATTAAAACTTCTAAATAAACATTTCTTTTCTAGATAAATGAAGAAAAGAGATCCCCATCACCAATTGACCTTGTTCTTGGCATGGGAGTAAAACGGCAATCTCCGCTACCATGGAAGGATCAAGGCATGGGCAACCTTCATCATCACCATATCCAGCAGAACCAGATGCATCAGATGAATACATCTCTCCAGCAGCTTCTGCAGAACTCACAGGCTAATCAGCAGCAGTCGATTATGAACCAACATCAGTCATTTACTGGTAGTCGCATTGGACACAACTACAACACTCTTCAACCACCAAGACCAGCCACAAGGTAAGTCTAGAAGCTATCTGTCGGGGTGATGGGTTCTAGTTACAATGTACAATACAATGTTAGTGTTAACACACAATGAGAAAACTTGTTCTGCTGTACCTTGATTGTAAATGTCAGTCCAGTACAATAAGAAAACATGTCAGACTTCAGGAAAATAATCATTTACATTCCATAGCTTCTTTGTGCACAAAGGTGCAAATATCTTTTTTAAGGCTTGGTCACACATCTGTTTTTAAAAAGGCTTGTGTTTGAAGAGAATAAACCTAGGGGATTAAGATTTGTTGCCATGTAAATCTTATGATTTCTTTATTTTTGTCATAAGGACTCCTTCCCCTGCAAATGCAGATGCTCTCTCAGTAGCAGCAATGTTGAAGCAAATGAACAACCAGCAAAGCCAGGAGCAACACATGCATGTGATGGGACAGAGCCTAGCCACAGACCAACAGCTTGCAGCAATTATGAAACAGCCAACCCTCAGTGCAGACGTTGCTGCGCTAGCCATCCTTCAACAGCAGCAGAAGCAACAGAAAGAGGTGTTTGGTGGGTCATCTGCACCTGCAGGCAGAGCCCTCAGTCCTCAAGAACAAGTCCTCCAACAAGTGCTGTATCAACAAGCTGCAGCTGTTGCTCGGGGACCTTCACCAGCAAACATTGGTAAGATGTCATGGCTACTAAACTAAATTTTATGATGCACATCCAAAAATAGATTAGTATGGTTTAAATACCCAATATCATGTGATGTTTAATCCATCACTCATATGACAGGGGTCTATTTAGGTGTATAATTAGTGATAATAAGATGTGTTTACTAGACATCTAAAAACTGCAGATGTGCATCAATAAATGACAATGGACCTGTGACATAGTAGTTAAGATGTATGCCATCCAGTCACAGCACAATGTCCTCAACCCTTTTTATAGAGCATCAAGGGTTGTATATGAGCTTTTCTGAATGGAAACTCTTTGGTAAATACATGGTGTAAAGACGTAATAGTAGAAGCTGTTGGATTGAGGTCAGGGGTTCAAAACTCTCGCTTTTGTCTCTCTCTACCCAGGAGTATAAATGGGAACCTAGTAGGATGTTATAGCATTGAATGTACTAGATTCCTGCACTAAGCAAGTAGCGCACGACCAGGTATACTCCCCAAGGAGTAGAGAAGGTTGCACTTCGTACTGGTTTGTCATTGTATGTTATCCAGTGACCAGAGGTAATAACGCTCAGTGCCTTTGATCATTTAATTTGGAATTGGGCGCTATATAAATATTTAATTATTATTATTATTATTATAATTTTTGTAAGTACAGTCTTTTTTCTTATTACAGGAAATGCAATGCAAGCTGCACCACTTTCCACCACCCCAATAAAGCAAGTCCAGTTACAAGGATCACAAATGAACATGTTGACACCAGGAGTGATGCAACCTTCTCCGAACATGAACCGCATCCCATCTCCGCAGGAGCTCGCAGCTCACACGCAGAACATCTTGCACAATGCTGTCATCAAGAGGCAGCTAGAAGTGCAGAAAGAGAAGTTCCTCGCGCGAGAGGCAGCCCGTAAGGCCCCTGCCGGTACGCCAGACAGGCAGCCAGTAAGGCCACCAGTGACACCTGCGTTCACACCGACTTCGGTCATTCGCAAAATGTATGAGACCAAGGCAGAGGCAAAGAATGAAGACCAGCATCATGACAGGGAGGAAAATGAGAGCAACAGGAGTGTAAAACTAGGTTAGTTTTGACCAAAAAAAATTACAGTATTCCACCTCATAATCAGCATGACTCATTATTAAATTATCCAGCCAATGGAAAGGTGGACCATCAAAATGTCAGTGAAACTTATTAGCTGACCAATCAGAACAGGCCAAGGAACACACACCTACCTGTAAACGTTATGTCCAGAGGACCCACACTAAAAACAGTCATCAGAGGACCAACCGAGGACCAGCAAAGTATACCGAGAACCATAAAATACGCTCAGGTTTATGCCATGGACACCAACACACACATGTGCTCAGCGTTTTATGCACAGATGATGCTATTTATTTGTGCAACGCCACTCAAATAAAAGCGTTTAATGCATTGTGACACATTTTCAAATTTTCCTGCTAGCCGAGGGCCTTTACAGAAACCCTGGAAACCTGTTGTACACACACATCCAGCACAATCCAGCACTAGTGTTTTTGGTCCTCTGTAAGGCAAAAGGTCCTCGGTAAAATAGAAAAACTCTCATTGAACTCAGGATTACACACTATATATTCAAATAAGCAATTATTTATTATTATAAGCAGTTGTTTAGCTTACCAATTCTTATTCTTTGACCTTTTTTTTAATCATTAATTTGATTGTATTTATTTTTTTGGTATTTATAATATTTAGACATCTCAATTCTATGTGATGCAATTTATTTCTGTATAAAAAAACTCTCAATCAATCCCAGAGGGCAAATCTGTGAGCTTAATATTAAATACAATAAAAAAAACATAAAAAGACAGATACAAATTCATTAACAACAGAAAAGCCAACAGTAAACAAATTAGCAATAGAATCATTACATAATCACAAGTCCACAATGTAAAATGTATAAGTCCAGCAATTAAATTCTTGCTATTATAATAAAAACATGAATGAGATTGTGACATATAAATCAACTAGTTAGGCTAAGAGCATTACACAGATTATTAATATGTTAATATTTATAATTATTAAATTCATTAATTTAAATTTATTAGGATAATTATTAAAGGATTATTAATATTAATTCATTATTTAAATATCTTTACAAATTTAAAATTAGATTCAATCACTTGCACTTAAATGTCAAATTATAAACTAAAAAATGAAATCATTATTTTAATATATTTTTCAAAAAGGTAATTAATATATCTAGACATTATTAGGCTTCATTCTGCTAATGCCATAACAAGAGTCGCACATTGTGTAGCACTGTATTTTATAGTGGGTAGTAATAGCACGATATAAGATGATCAAACAATTATATCAGAATTATATTATTATAAATTACATAAGTGAATTATTATTTGATGTTTATCCATTGATTAATCATTTGTTCAATTGATGGTGTTTTTGTGTCTTTGGTTGTAAAATAGATCTAGGAAAAAAGCTGGAGAGTGCGTGTGATGAACAAGAACACAATAGACAGGAAGTAGCTATGTCTCAGCCCCATCCTAATGACATGCAAAGAGCGTTTGACGTGTCCTTCAGTTCACCAACTCGTAAATTACACAATGAACCTCAACATCATCACCAACAGAACTACCAGTCCCCTTCACCTGTCAACAACCTTGATATGTCCACCAATCAAAGACCTACTCCCATGCAGCGCTCACCAGGAAGTCACCAGTCACAGAATCCTTCTGGTAACTATGATGGTATCAATTACAAGAAGATCTTGGAGATCCAGCGACAGCAGCAGCAGAAAGCAGCATTAGCAGCTGTAGCAGGACAGTCGCAACAACCAAGTTCACAGGGGCAGGGCATGTCTTCTGGACATTCCATGGCACGCCCTATGCATCATGGATTCCCGATACAGATGATGCAGCGTGCTCCGTTGATGCACGGTATCCATCCAGTACCTCAGCCACATGGTATGCAGGTGCCCAACACCTTTCAACAAATGCAGGTTTGTGGTCGATATCATAAGAATTATTAGTCATTGATTTTGATATTTCAGCTAACATAGCAATAATTAAATTTTCATATATTGCTGAGCGGTTAATATCGGCGCTGGTTCAAACGGCACGCCCGTTTATGGTTCTGGTGGTCCAACAAGTCTCCTTGGATAAGGACTATAAATCATAGGCCCAGTGTACATATGGCTAGTGTGTGCTGTAAAGAACCCAGTACATCATCCGAGACAGGTAGGGGGTTACGTCGGTGTATTGGTTCATACAGCTCCTGTTGTGGACAGATGAGAGATAACTGGTACCGGTTTACCGGGTAGCTCAGACATGAAGAGACCTACTGTGCGAGCTAGTCCACACCTAGAGCGCTTTGAGACTTTGTATAAAGCGCTATGTAAATCCAACCACATTATATCACTATTACATGTGATAAAAAACATTTATGGTAATGTTATTGACAACGTTATCCATAATGGAGATCATTCCCCATCTGAATACATCTCTGACCTTTAAGAGGAATATTATTAAAGGTTAAGGCTACCCTCATGAATAGTATTAGATAATAATAATGACATTCTGGCATAATTTCAAATAATTTTTATTTATTTTTTTACTTTACTCTGTTTTTCTAGCCCATTCTTCAAGTGGTGTAATGTGGCAAATAACTAATATTGATAATGATTATGTTGTGTAATATCAATTACAGAGAGGTCTGCATCCGGGTGGCGTTGGTGGTCTGTCTCCAATGATGATGAACACAAGAGCTGCCTTCCCAGGAGCAGCAGTAGTACAAGCTGGCCTAGTACACAACCAAACAACACCCCTTGGAGCAAGAAGAGGTATATATCACTAATAAATTATTTTTCTTTAAGTAGTAATGGAAATTAAATCTGCAGGTGTTCACTTTTCCAGGTATCATCACGCCAGGTGTTGGGTGGCTTAAATGCTAGTTATTGTCGCATGCAGATTTCAAGAAGTTGAAGATGTTTAGTCTTGTGTACATTATGGTCCTGGGTGTACCATGAGTATTTGTAGGCCTATTTATTATGTTCATACCATTTATCTTAAAAGAGATCTTATAAGTTATATTCAAATGAAAACAGTTTCAGGGTATATGCATTAAGCGTGTACAACTTCACATACTAAATTAGTACATGCAATAATACATACAGATATTCTTCATTAACAATGCATTGTTATTAAGAATGTTACACATACTTACATTTATTACGTATAATTATATTTAGCGAATACATCTATTCTTTCAGAGTTCAACTTGGCGAATCAACCGGTCAAATTTGCTAGTGAGACCCCAACAAGAGCTTCGCCAGTGAATCTTGCAAAATGGTTCGGTAATGATCTCTTACAACACCCAATGCCGCAAATGCCACAGCACAATGTGCTGGGTCAACGGGTAATCTCGGTTGAGGAATTAGAAAGACAGCAACAAGCTGTGGGATAGGACGACAAATGTCGCGGTCAAATTATTCCTCAGATTTTCATCAACTGTAAAAATGTGACCAGAAATGTAAAATAGAAGCTTCCAGCCACCCAGTACAAGCATCCTTTGTTAACAATTCATTATTAAGAATGTTTACATATACTTACTTATGTGTTATTGACAAAAAGCATATCATTGTAAAAACAGATCATTATAAGCAATTATGAGCATTTACTGAGATTGTATTAATATTTGTTTACTTTCATGCTTTGAATTGCTAATTTCATGTGTATACAATATTCCTGTGCCCCAGCACCGACTCACTGAGCAAGCTGTATAAACAGAGCTGCTGAAAGGAGTGCGTTTATTTGTGGTTTTTCCTAAGTTGGCAAAATGATAGTAGGGACTCCATGTCAGTTCTGTCTTAAACATAATATACATTGAGATGATAACCCAGTGTCTTCAGTATCATATCCAGCAAAATGTAAGCGAAGGCTGTTGTAGATTAAGCCCATTTCCCTAATTCATAGTCCTGTTGGTTGCTATAGAAACCAATGTCATTTCTTAAAATGCTTTTCACTTATTTGTGGTTATTATATTACATCAAATGATTTCACCTAATGGTATATAACCCCAGTGCTTCAAATGTTTAACTGCATTGGCTATTATCCCAAGTGTTTAAAATATTTGGCTCATTTTTTAGGTTAACCCCCAGCTCAAAATATAGGTCCCTGTGGATGGTTTAAGCTAGAGACCTAACAAAAGAGAACATTGTTTGATGGTAACCCCAGACAACATGCTTTAGAGCCATCTCGGAGGTATATCCTGAGTAGCCAGCCCCCTTTCAGCAGCCCTGTGTCTAGTATTAGATAATGTATTTAATGATGCAAGATGGCAAATTATTGAATAGCTATTAATGTGTAGATCAGTAGATGTCTCTACAATTGTCTTCTAAATGTATTTATTTTTGTTCTTTGTAAGAGAGTGTATATAAGGAAGAAAAAACAATTGAAAAGAACTTGTTATTTGTATTCTAAAAGTTAAAATGAGGGGAAGTCACCCGGTTATTTTTGTTCTGTAGTTAAATGTTTACATGGTATGACTTGTCAAATTCAAAAAATCTGTAAAATGAAAGGACAAAAAAAAAGGTTAATTGTGTGAATTTTTTTCAAAAATTATTTTTGGAATTGATAATTTGTGTAAAAAAATTGTGGTAGCTAAACACCTTAAGAGATGTTAACTGTTGTATGTATTTCACGAGCTCAAGTTAATAAATTAAGAGCTCAGATGCTGTTTTCAGTTGACAAGCTTCTGTACTTTAAATATGTATTACCTTGTAACAATTCAAATTTGCAAGAAAAACCGTTATGTATATATTTTGTAAAAGGGTAAATAGAATTTGTTCTTGTCATTTTGCTTAACAGTTTAATGTGCATAAATTTATGTTGCCAAAAAGTAAACAAGAAAAATCTGATTCTGTTTGAAGTAGATTTATTATGGTATTCAACGTAGTAATTTACAAATCATAAATTAAATTTAGCATTCATGCAGTGTGAATGAGTTACATGTTTGTATAATATATATATATATATATATATATATATGTATATATATATATATGTATGACTGTAAACTTTAGCAGTGTCTAATAATGGTCAATGAATGTATAGCCATTCAGAATATACATATATACATTGCATGTATCCGTGAATGCTGCACCAGTTTGTTTTTATTTTTATTAATTATTATTTGTTGTAATTGTTCTCCCCCACCCCCCTCTTGGTTTACCCTTCATAAGGAAATGAAGTTTGAAGATCCTCATTTATATATCTTTTCTCATAATGTTGTATTGTAAATGTGATTTAGTTGTGTTTAATATTACCGTCAGGATTTAATTTATTGTAAACTTCATTCTTATGTGTATATCCTGATAATTCTAATTCTTTAAAAGAATATCATAGACTAATTTCCTTTTGTGAAATGAATTATTGTGAAATTGACGTCGTGAGAAAGGATTATATCTAAAACATAAAATTTGGTGGTTTATTTGTAGATTCAGTCATAACAATTGCGGGCCATGTTTGTTGTCTTTGGGATTTTTTTTTAAAGTTATTCAATTGTTTTCTAGCATTGAAAAAACCCTTTAATGATTTCAATTGTGGGTCCAAGTATTTTTTTTTTTGTTTTTTGATGTCAAAAGAAAAAGAAACAAATTATGCTAGCTTCTTGTAACTTTGATAGTTACTAAGATAAGTTTTTTGCTGTTGGAATTTGTTTCATATTTTGCTTGTTTGTCAACCGTGAACCGTGAAATAAACTTGAAGCAACAAAAGCTGATGTTTTAAAAAATTCTTTGTTTTGAATTTGCAACAAAAATAAAAAAAGTTCTTTCAAAGTTGGTGATACAAAGTGGCCCAAACATCAGATGGCTGGTGGTTAGCTGCTGTATCTGTGCTGAACCGCAAGATCTTTGATCCCTGGTTCAATTCTATACGTTACTGTGATCGTTCAGCTGGAGGGTTGGAATGCAAGTTTCAATAGCGCATCATCGGAGAGTTAATTTGGTGTGTAATATGTGGCCGATCCACCACCAGAAGATCCAACAAGAAATGTCTTTCGAATTTACAAAATTAATCCAAACAGATAGATCTACATTAATTCAATTCAGTCATTACAATTGCTACAAAAATTTTGTTGTTAATATACATATAAAAAAGTAAAAACACACAATAATATACATTGTGCATAACTGTACACACACATTAAAAAATTAAAAATCTGGTGGCATAATTTGTAAAAAAATTAATTAAAACGAAAAACGAGCTGGAAAACTTTAAAGACAGGCCGAGAAATATTTTTGCTGATAGAAAAAAAAATTTACCTGGCCGATATGGGGCTCGAACCCATGACATTCGCGTTATTAGCACGACGCTCTGCCGACTGAGCTAACCGGCCATGACTGATTAGGCAATAATAAATTTCGTACTAAAGCATTACCGCGGCGTAAAGTAGCCTAGATATTATTTTTAATTTCGAATTGTATTAAATCATTATTGTGCTAATTAATTAAGGTTTGTACGATGCTTACAGGAGCACCTAGGCTAGTTAGTATCCAAGGAGTACTAGGGCTAGGCTAACCTACCAAACGCCCGGTCCGGGCATGTCCCCGGACCCCGCCGAGCGAGCCGATAGGCCTAGCCTAGGCCTAGGCCCTAGGCGAGGTAAGGTAGACAGGCCTAGGCTAGCTTGCCTAATATTATAAAGCCTTGCAAGATCTAGTAAGCTTACTAGGCAGAGGCCAGCTTGGCCCTAGATTATGTTTCAGAGATAATATGCAATCAATGGGTGTCTCAGAGAGGCCTTTTTCACGAATCGGTAGACATCTTGAAGTAATGACAAACACTGCGAATCAGCGGTGCGTAACCAACAAAAATAAGATAAGGTTTTGGGCTGATTATCTGACATCATGTTATTTTAAAAATTATAACTCCATAACGGGGCGTCGTATCCAAAACATTTTTCAGCAAAATGTTCTTAAAAGATTAGGCCTATTTTTTTTTTCAATTTATTTTTGATTTTTTAAATTTGTTTGAACTAATAATAATAATAACGATTTTTAAAGCGCAAACATCACCACCAAAAATTGGTGCTCAAGGCGCAGTGTCAAAACAACAGGTAGAGAACAAACAAATCACAAATAACAAATTGTAAGCAAGTTCATTTTTTTTTTAAATTTTATTATTGACAATTAAGCAGCACAAGAAATCAAAAAGTAAACCAACCTTTTCATTTTCTCAAAGTAATACCATCCTTTTTATCATAACTTGTCAGTTTTTCCTGGAAATATTTTGCATTTTATTTCATTGCATCTTTATGTTCATCAAAAAATTACTTACCTTACTTTTCTGATGTGTTCCTTGTTTCCTTATATATTTTTTTTGTCTATTGCTTTTTCATGTTACCTTATCTTTCTTTTTTAGTTCTTTCTCATGTGACTTTTTCTTTTCTTTTCATTTTTTCTTTCTTATGTTACCTTATCTATTCCTTTTCGTTATCTTTCTTAATTCTCCTGTACTTTCGTTTTCTTTGTCTTTCTTATGCTGCCATATCTTTCTTTCTCTTTACTTTCTCATGTCAGATTATCTTTCTTTCCTTGTTCTTTCTCATGTGACCTTTTCTCTTCTTTCATTTTTCTTTTTTATGATTCATTATCCATTCCTTTTCATCATATTTCTTAAGTTTCCTGTTCTTTTCCTTTTCTTTGTCTTTCTTATGTTTCCTTATCTTTTATTTCTCATGTTACCTTCACTTTCTTTCCTTGTTCTTTCTCATGTGACCTTTTCTTTTCTTTCATTTTTCCTTCTTATGTTTCCTTATCCATTCCTTTTCATTTAGGCCTATATTTCTTAAGTTTCCTGTTCTTTTCCTTTTCTTTGTCTTTCTTATGTTTCCTTATCTTTCTTTCTCTTTTCTTTCTCATGTTACCTTCATTTACTTTCCTTGTTCTTTCTTATGTGACATTTTCTTTTCTTTCATTTTTCTTTCTTTTGCTTCCTTGTGCCATTCATTTCCATTGTATTTCTTAAGTTTCCTGTTCTTTCCTTTTCTTATGTTTCCTTATCTTATCTTTCTCTTTTCTTTCTCATGTTACCTTATCTTTCTTTAAACCTTGTTCTTTCTCATGTGACCTTTTCTTTTCTTTCTTATGTTTCCTTAACCATTAATTTTCATTATATTTCTTAAGATTTCTGTTCTTTTCCTTTTCTTAGAGAAAAGTTTATCAGACCTCTCACCTCAAGTTTCCAGTCCTTACAATCATATCCTTTCACTTTCCTTACCTATTCATTCAAGTTACTACAAGTATCATCGTGACTTTTCTTATTCCTTATTTCCTAACTACTTACCGTCTAATGTTGGAAAGGCATCTCTTAGCAGATGTGATTTCAGAGACAATTTGAAAGTATATTTTACTTACAGGATCTAATTGTGAAAGGCAGATTGTTCCACAAGCGTGGAACAGCAACAGAAAAGGCTCTGTCTCCCTAGGAATTGTGTGATTTGGGCTGATGCAGGAGGAGTTGATTGGAAGAACGTAAGTTACGTTTAGGAGCATACCAATGGAGCATATCTGCGATGTAGTCTGGAACCAAGTCAGTTTTGAATTTAAAAACGATCAGCAAAATTTTGTAAATAATCCGGTCATGTGACCTTTTCTTTTCTTTCTTATGTTTCCTTAAACATTACTTTTCATTATATTTCTTTGGAACTTTGGTGTTTGTATCTTTAAAATGTTAATTAAGGCAGGGATAATTAAAGACATTTATTTGTACTTTTTGTTAATCTTTTCAGATTGTCATGTTTTTTTTTTCTTGTCATTTTCTTGGACGCACCGTTATGTAAATTTTGTGCCACTGTTGCAATAAAGTGTCGCTTCCAAATAAAGGATACAATAAATGTTTGTCCAATCAGTATGCAACAGGCCTAGGCCTACATGACACGATTGTCCCGAATGAGATTTTTAAGCACTGAATTCCATTTTTATGAAGGATTGAATAATTTAATTATTAACTTACAATTATTTACTTATCGCATTTACTTATCTTATAAGCATTTTCTAATGTTAGAAGTATATTTCACTGGATTAACTTATTGTTTATTTCATTTCATGAGACAAGTTCATCCAGCAGCATTCCCAGGCTTTTCATACATTTGTTGATAATTCGTAAAGAAAGAAGTGATCTACATTATGTAAGACACACAGCATCTTAATTACCACCATTGTTGCACATCACTGCTCTTGGAAACAGAACTAGGTGTAATGAGAAAGATGCGAGCTGATGGTAAAGCCGCCGCAAAATTTTTAATGAGCAAATCAGGTCACAACAGATAATAATCCTGGTTTAATACCGATGAGTAGACAACCCACCTGGACACAAAAATTCCATCGATGTTTGCAAATGTAATAGACCTACTTACTTGATACTTGGATAGTTACTCTCTTGTTCAATGAAATGGCCCTCAACTTCTCTTTAAAGATAATTACTCTTGGTGAAGAAACAGTTTCTTCTCGGATTTGGTTCCATTGATCTGTAACTCGGGGTAATGAAAATTGTTTGGTCACATCTGATCGCATCTTATAATAATAATAATAATGATAATAATATAATAATAATAATAATAATAATAATAATAATAATAATAATAATAATAATAATAAAAATAATAATAATAATAATAATAATAACAATAACAATAACAATAACAATAACAATAACAATAACAATAATAATAATAATAATAATAATAATAATAATAATAATTAATAATAATAATAATAATAATAATAATAGTTATTGTTATTGTTATTGTTATTTATTTATTTATTTTTTAAAGGAGTTGCCAATCAGGAATAAAAGTAACAACAGAGAAGCTATACAGTCATCAAGTAAATGTATTCTTGAACCTCCAATCTACACGGTGTATTTATGTCCTTTATTTGAATTAATTTTCTTTGAGGATTTATATAGGATATAATTTAACAGTGTTAAAGGCTATCTTGATCTATATTACAGTATATACTATTAATTGTTTCCAGCCGTACCTATTGTGTAATAAAGTGTATCGGACATTATTTGAATCTGTTTCAACCATAAATCCACGTAGTCTGGTTGTAAAACTGCTTAAATGAACTTTAGCGGGAAAAAAGTAAAGGAAAATTAATTTTTGGTTTTTCTGAATCAGCATACCCTATAGTGTCTCAGAAAAAAAAATCCCCGCATGCCTAGGGCTTGGGCAATTTTTTTACGGCACTTTAATATAATTTTGACCTAAAATACACTATTTTAAACTATTTAAGATGGGGTAGGGGAAATAAATTTATGTTTTGGTCATTTTTACAAATACTGTGGATATGGAATGTAACAACAACTTGGCTAAATAGTTACTCATCACTCTAATTTAAAAAAAATTATCGGAATGATAACGTCATCATGATAAATTCCAAGATGGCGTCCATTAAGGTCGGAAAAACTATGTTTTTAATGTAAAAATAATTTTATTATCAAAGTACAATACCTGTCTCTTATACACATCTAGATGTGTATAAGAGACAGGGGTTTACGTTTTTTGTTCGTCCGTTGTTCTTCCAAAATAGTGAAATTTTGCTTTAAAATACCGATTTTTGGATCGGGATATGGGAAACATGTTTTTGTTTTTAGTCACTTTTAGTTTTTTTCTATAACTGAAAACTGACAGGACCTTAGTTAAATACTTACCCATTATAGTCGTTTAGTGGTGGCCCCAGGGGGTCTGATAGGGTGGGTCCAAACACTG